GTATATTAACCCGAGGCTACTTACCATGGGTGACTTTTCCCTGGGCGCCGACTTCACAATCGTAACCTTGTAGGCATTGGCCGCCCGACGTTCCGCCTCCAGTGATTGCTTGCTCTTGGGGACCGGGCGATTGGGACGCTGCAGGAAGGTGGACCACTGACGGTTCTCCTTGTCCTTCTCCAGCTTCGTCTTGGTCACCTCCTCGTTGAGGGAGCGCAGGACATCGCTGGACATGCAGACACCGGGCTTGGGGAAGATCCTATAGAAATTGACGCTATCATATGGAAGCGGTTAAAAGAACTCGCCAGTGGACTGGCATGCCAGTAAATAGGGAAACCCCGTCTCTCATAGAGGAGTGGAGCTGGGAAATGGGCAAAAATTGAATGGTACGCACCCGAGGACATTGTGCTCCTTGAGCACCTCCGACTCGCCGGACAGCACGGCTGCAATTTCCTCCTCCACCAGCTTAATTTCCTGCCTTTCGGACAGCGCCGAGCACGGGCGATCGGGCAAATCGGGCAAGTAGAGACCCTCGACGGGATGGGCACCAACTCCTTGTGCCTCAGCTGGCACATCCCCGCGATTGTCTTCCGCATGCACTTCCGACACGGCTTGGCGACATTCCGCCAGGACATCCATGTCCACAGACGGTACCGTAATAGGTACGAATTCCCTGGGAGGCGGGACGAATGGCTCCGGTTCCGGAGTTCGGGCATTTGTGGCTTCCGTCAGCTGGGACAGCGATGGAGTCGGCGACGGGGAAATGGATGGCGTGGGGGACTTGGTCAACGAACCCTCGCTGGTGGGGAACTTCTTCAGGCACTCGTAGACGTCCTCCTCGTTCTCCCTGCAAGTGGATCAGTGCCGAAAAAGTGAGCGCAATTTATGATTCGGTAACAATGATGGGGATGTCTTTTTAGGGGCGTTTGGTTCCAGGGACACACTAGGATCTAATATATAAGAGTAAATAGGAGATACATTTCAGAAAACAGAAGGCTCTTGAATTTTAAAGTAATATTGCTTGAGATTTTTTTTATATTATTATTTGGGGCTTTATTGTTTTGTTTTTTTAAACATTTGTAAAAAAAAGAGATAAATCTTGTTCGTAATTGAATTTTTTTGCTTCTAATTTTAAATAACACAGAGGTTTGAAAACTTCTATGTTCTTGTTTTTAGCAACATAATGCAGGAAATGTAAAGTCACACTTATGATAACTCTTCCATACGAAATTTAATTATCTTTAATATAATTCCTTCATTTTTCATTTTAGATCTTGAGTTGGTATTTGAAAAAACATTAAGGATTGCAAAATATTATGTTCATCCTTTGGGCTCAATAATACAGAAGTTCTATGTTACATTCCATAATTATAATTAGATCTTGACTTAAAAGCTCAAGTTCTGAAACTGTTTCTTTTACAAAAAAGTACAGAACGAAATAGTAAAAACTAAAACTACTTTTCTTACTAATATTTAGACATGGCTTGTGCTTTGTGAATTTCTTGAAGGGTATAAGGAAACGTTCTTGGGTTGTTAGCCCGCTCATCTGTGATAAATGGTCCTCGGCGGATGGTATACAAAAGGATAGTAAGGAGGGGGCCAGGACCAGCTCAAGGATGAGAAAAGGAAAGGAAAGGAAAGAAGAGGTGGACAGAAAGAAAGCTCACCGGTAGACGCCGAAGTAGAAGACGCTGCCGCTGTTCATAATGAGGCGGTGGGCCTCGTCGTGGCTGAGGGGCGTGGCAGCCGTGTCATTGATGCGCACGATGATGTCCTCGACCCGCAGTCCAGCCTCGTCAGCAATGCTGCCCTCGGTCACCTATCGTTGGAGCATGTGGACATGGTTAGGTTCAGATGCGGATACCATCTCGACCCCGTCCGATCCGAGATACGGATGCCAGTAGGATAAACGAGTGCGAGGTCGAGATAGCCGCACAATGGATGCGATAATGGGGGAATTTCTATTAGCCAACGAAGGCGACGTCGCGTGCTAAGTGCATAAAAATAAAACGCGCGCCAAATGTCAACAAAACAAAGACCAGAACGCCAGAAGACCGAAAGACCCAGACCCCAACACAGGAACACACACACGCACACCCAAGCGAACCGAAGACAATGCCTAAGAGGAGGGTTCCGTTTGGGGGGATCAGAACGAGGGGTGCTCGAGAAGAAGTGGCAACTTCACTTAAGTGAATCTTGTGGAATTACCACTTAAATAAAACATTCTTTTGTGTCGCAAAATAGTTTTAACATTAGAAAAGAGAGATCTAAAGAAAATCACATATCTATAGAATTATAAAAACGAACTTTAAAGTTGAAGAACCTTTAAAATGGTCTCTATAACCACAAAATGAATTTCTAAATATGCTTTATCTAAACTAATACCAAACTAGAAAATGTTACCAGTAGGTACTAAATTTTCGGTGTTTTATATTTATATCCCGAAAAGTTATCATGTAAAAATACCCCGTATTTAAAATTCTCATTTTCACAACTATAAATCAAACTGAGCCCCACTTGATGTCGAAAAGTTGTGAGAACAATAACAACTAAACACAATATAAGCTTTATGGCCTTTGTGGGTAATAAAGTACAGACAAATGGTTGCAAATTGAGCATTTAACTTGTGGGTAACTATTATCTAAAATTTTTTTCCTAATTTATAGAGTGAAAATTGTTGGAATGTTAGGGGTTTCAACTTATGAATGCAGTTGAAATTCACGCGGCAACGATTATAATTCGCGTTTAAGGTAACAATTTCCATAGAATTCTATTGTATAATTCAGGTGGTTTTGCAACACTTTGGTGAGCAAATAAACGCCAATGTTTTTGCGGTGATTGTTGTCGCTTCCGTTATGCGAAAGCCTGGCTCATAACCAGAAAGTCACGACACTGGCTGCCAAGAGGACTTAGTAATGCAAATACTGCAAGTGAAAGGGAGGCGGAATGGAAAACTGGGTGGTAATAGCATGGGGTAGCTGGGAGTGGGGGATTCCCCCAACCAACCAACCAACTCGAGGGTCTTTTCTTCTCCCAGAGGTTTCTTGCATTTCACTTATGGAGGAGTCAATTTCCAGCGGTGAATTCGCAAGGCAAACACTCGACATCGACGGAGGTTGCGAATATTTATAGAACACAGGCTTAGGACTTAGCCTGGATATATGTACGTACATATACGTATGTACGGGACTGTATGTGAAAAGAAGCAGAGTGAGGAGTGCTAGAATAAACAGAGGTTTTTCAAAAGATTACCAAGGATTGTTTAGTGTTTGCAGAGCCAATTTATGGAGGTGGGTGTTTGCACATTTCATAAAGTAATATGGAACCAAATAGAAATATGTTCTTTTTAAGTTCCTTTAAGGGTGCACATAGTAAATAGTTTATTCCGCTGAGTTTTAAATGGTTCAAAATTAAAATAGTGGCAAGAATTATATCATTAGTTTTTTGGTTTTTAAAAATCTATTTAAGTTTAACAGCTTATGATTTATTTTAATTAATTAAGCTTTTTTCTTCACTCTTTTTAATGAAAACGCATTTGATTTATTTTGTTAAATTTCAAAGCTAATTTTCATAATGCCAATTAAAATGGAACACAAATGATAAAGCATTTTATAAATTGATCATTACTTTAAGTGCGTATTAAGCATAATTTGTTTATGTAAAATAAACATAACAAGTTTAAAAAAAAAACAATTTATGACCTTACTCCTTTGCTGTTTATTATATGCAGCGGCTTAAATTGATTTATTGAAATCGAGAGGAATGGACCTTTTAGCGGCCCTCGTATTTTGGTTATTTGTTGCGTGTGTTTTACAATTTGCCAATTAAAAATTGCATTTGTTTCGGATTTTCGCCAATGTTTTTGGCCGTTGTTGCTGCTATTGTCAACACAATGTTACAAAATGCGAATGGCCAAATGCAATTTATGCATAGGCAACTACAACTGCAACTGAAACACAATTAAAATTTGAATAAGTTTATTGCCGATGCCATTATGCGGCTCATTAGCGGGAAAAGGCATGGCACTGTCGATTAGATAAACAAAAGACCACTGGCCTGCGAGGAATTACTTTAATTAACTAATTTGCCAATGCAGCAAATCCGAACGGACACACGCACTGCGTTACGTAATTGCAGTCGAAAATATAAAAAAAAAGGAAAAGGCGTATCGAAAACCACTAAACTAATCCGTTGGGCAATGGGATATACTGGGGATTGCATTCCAAAACTACAAATAAAACCACACACACACCACAGGTGGGGCCTTTGCCAGGTGACTGACTATATAGATTTCGGTCTCTTTTCGAATCGGGCCTAACCTTAACCACCGTCAGCGGATAGTCATAGTCCGCCCCGCCCACAAGGCGAAAGCCCCAGGGCACATTATCAAATCGGCACATCTTAATGTCGACCACCATTTTCCTTGATTTATTCCGATTTTTGTTTTCTTGTAGAATTTTCCGATTTCTTTCGCGACTGTCTTTTTTTTCTTGATTCCGAAGCTTTTCCGGAGCTCTGTGGTCGGGTGGGGAAAACGTCTCGAGTGCAGCGCTGGCAACCAACTGTTGGCATCGGGATTTAGATTATAGCAACGCAGCAATCGGTCGGCGATCGGAGCGATTTCGCACACTGCCGCCAGAGGAGCTCCATTGAAGCATACTTTCCCCCTGGCCACGACATGCTAATGAGGCTGCCACTCTGTCAGCCGTCGAGTTCCGCCCTCCCCGGGGCCCCCAGAAATCGGGGGTCGTAATCGTAATCGCAATCGACAGCAGTCAGAGCCTCTTAACAGCAAAGTAACAGGTTGGGCGAAAGGGTTATGGGCGGCATTTTTGGCGGTAATTACACTTGAATTAATAATAGAATGGGGTGTAAGTTCCATAAACGGATCAGTAAAATATTATATTTTTGATTGATTTGATAAAACTTTCTTAAAAACCATTTTATGTTTAGTTTATTTTTGATTTTATTTTTATAAAATATATCATTTAACAATGTATTATATGTGCTATCATTACTTATTCGTGTTTCCGGGATACTTGGCAGGTTACAAATTCCTTGTTTTACACCATACTTGTACTAAGTTTAAAATGAACCAGCATAAAACTCACATAAAACCAATATATTGTTAATTCTCTAAGCTGAAGACTTTCTTTATATGGTATATACACCTTTTAGTATAAGAACTCAAGGACTATAATAACAGTGCATGGCTTGTCCTTTGAAATTCAAAACTCATAGCTAAGAATAGAAGTGTTCGTTTTTGGGTGAAACATGTCTAAAATATAGGTGGTAAAGGATTTTCCAGAGGTTATGCCTCTGGGAAAGGCTATGTTGCAATGCAAGAAATCAAGAGGCCAATGAACTGCATCTGTTACCAACAAAATTTAGTGGTATAAATACCAGTTGCAGCATACGACAATCACTACAGACTGAAGATGTTTTGCAAGGACAACGGTGCAGTTCATGGCCTCCGGCTTCTGCCACTGCTAATCGCCATGCTAACGGCCATCCTGATGATGGTCACACCGGGCAGCGGTCACCAGCTGCCCCCCGGGAACCACAAGTTGTGCGGTCCCGCCCTGTCCGATGCCATGGATGTGGTCTGTGCCCACGGCTACAACTCGCTGCCCCAGAAGCGCCGTGTCCTAGTCCCCGCCAATGATGAGGAGGATAATGTGTGGCAATCACTGGCCGGGGCAGGCTACTCCTTCAGTCCCCTGCTGACCAACCTGTACGGATCCGAGGTCCTGATCAAGACGCGTCGCCACAGGAGGCACATGACAACCGGTGGCGTCTACGACGAGTGCTGCGTAAAGTCCTGCACTTACGAGGAGCTATCCGCCTACTGTCTGCCCAAATAGAACACTTAAACCACTCATTACCCAGCATGCATTAACACTCATATACCATATATAAACCATATACATACATACCGACAGCATTTCGTAATCCGATTCGTAATCACTTATTTATGCAGCACCAACTTTGACTAATGAATAAAAGTAGACAGTGCAAAAAGAATTTTTGTGTGTGCGGCAAAGACAACAGTCAAAGGAAAAGTTCTGTGGAGGAGTTCTAAATCGTTGCCAGGATGCTGGCTCCTTTCAGCTGGCTCTGCCTTTTGGCCTACATCAGTCTCGTCCAGGCGCGTATTGGTAAGTATATACCAAAATGGGTTAAATTAAAAGGGGGAGGGAGGGGCTTTTCACAACCAAGGACTCATTTGGTATTCATAAATGCAGGGCTTAGCACGGCCTGGCTGTTTATACATAAATTGTTTAATTGGCTGACAGCAAACGCCCACACACCCACCCACCAAGCCCACCCACAATTTTCCAATAGCCATTTGCATAAGTCAGCTTGTTTGACATTGAACGAGTTTAGCCAGGCGTTAGAGGGGGAGTGTTCTTCCTTGTCTCCAAAGAAGAAGGGAACTCCGAAATGCACTCATCGTAACCTAACACAATTTGACACCCTGACTTTTGAGGATAACACGAGTTGTGGGACCCAGACCCAGACCCCGACCGAGACCCAATTTCGAGTTCCCCAAGCGGTGTATATAAGCCAGCTACTTGGGGCCAAACAGCATCAGTTACCTTTCGACCCGGCTCGACCCAACTTAATCCGTTCGATCGTAAAGCAGCATCAAAAAAAGAACCTAGCATCATGTGCAAGATTTTGTCCCTCATCTCGATGCTCGCTGTGATTCTTCTGGCCAGCTCATCGGTTCAGGCCGAAAGGACCACACAGCGTTGTGGTGAGAGGCTCATGGAAATGATGGATTACGTGTGCGAATCGTTTACTCCCGTAATCGCACACAAAAAGCGCTCTATGCGTAAGTTTCTTACCAGGAAATCCGGGTTATCCTCGAACTGAATCCACGAGTTATTTTCTTACAGCCGACAATGATCTAGCCCTTGATCCCCTCGAGTATGTTCAGAAGTTTGAGGAGGACAACTCCATTGCGGAACCGGTGCCAAGTCAGATCTTCCGTGGAAATTCCTTTGAGCGGGTCCTCAGTTCCCTGGCTGAGATCCAGCGGCGAACCCGCCAGCAAGGCATTGTGGATAGGTGCTGCAAGCACTCCTGCAGTCTGGCAGTCCTTCATGAATACTGCCTTGTTCCCAAAACATATTAAATTTTCTCATACGAAAACCGCGTCCCGCTCCGAAAATTGACCGGCTCTACCTGATTATCTCTGGATCTGGTTCCAAACCAACCATGTGAACATATACTCCGAAAAGTGTTTTTTTATATAGCTTGTTGCATGTTAAAATGTATTACACGATCGTAACGGATTAAATATATCCTGCTTGGGCTTTAGCAAACAAATGCTGCTGAAATACCGTGTTATTATGGGTGGACAAGGGGACCTTTGAAAACTGAACAATTTTTATACCCCCAGCATTTTTTTAATTAAATAATTTTTTTATTTTTACAACTTAATCCACTTAATGGCTGTTATACATTGATTATAATGTAAAACATATAACATGAGTACATAACAGAATGGTGAATGATCATTTTTTATAGCAACTGAACAGTAGCAATCCAACTGCTTCCAAAAAATAATTCACCTTAAGAAAGAATAATAATTTACAAACCTAAAAATTTACAAACCTAATAAATTCAAAACTTACTTTATCAAAGTTGATATTACACTAAAAAAACAAAAAATTACTTTTTTATAAAAAGGCAAACTCATCTACCTACTTAGGAATCCCTTTAACTAATAGAAACGGTTTGTAGAGGGATTATCAAGAAATTACAGACATTCAGTGACATCATACAAAAAAGATCTAAATCTTATGGTAAGGAGGCATTGTTTAAAGTGATCAAGCCCCAACACGTTTCAAAAAACTTTGAAATATATCGAAAAGACTTAGTAGAAATTAGGTTACCTAATTTAAGCAAAATTAGAAACTCAGTGAGCAGAAAAATCTTTTTAAATTTTCTGTCATGAAATCTGGACTTCCAAGAATATACCAAAATGTAAATATTTGACTGTTCAACGCTTTCACAATTTTTAGTCAATCAGTCAAAAAATTTTTTGAAACAAACTCAATATTAATTTACAGTTGGCTTTAGCTGGGATAAAATACAACAATCTCGCTTTATTTCCCTTTCAACTAAGTTGCGAACATAAATCCGGCTGCTGGGACAATAAATAATTAACTGCAATAAACGACAATGAAAAATCAATGTAATACCCGTTTAATTACCAATCAAGTTGGCCAATCTGCAGCAGTTTGAATACATAATTTATTTAATAATTTATACCCAGGCGATGTATTGAGGCCCTGTTCAACCATATCTACATGCATAACATCCCGTGTTCCGATTCATTTCGCGTGTCTGTCTCTGATTTCCGATCATAAATTATGCGCATACATCCCATTCACATGTGCATATATATCATATCCAAAGCTGGAATTGAGTAAGCTCCAATAACGACTTATCAACTACGAGTACGTGACTGTTATTTCCAGGCGGATCATATCTTTTCATTAATCTTAGGTGTCGTCAGAAGGTTATTTGGTGGTTCACGTTTTGGGCTTGGAAGCACAATATCTTAAAAGTTCATCCATGGAGCAAGATTTCAAGCAGCACTCATCGAAGACTCCTTCCCGTAGACGTCGTGTCTTTAGCATCTGGGCGGAACCATCAAGAAACAACCTTTCGAGCAGAGAACGGTCATCGAAGCCCAAGTCAAGGGATCCGGCCTCTATAAGGTTGAAGTTCATGGGATCTGTGGAATAAATTATTGGGATAAGTCAATAAAAACCAATGGGGATCTATTCAATAATAACCATCATCTTTTGTCGAAAAATTTTCTGTAAATGTTTTTAAGGGTATTTTCGGAAAGATGATATCTTTTTATTATAATAAAAAAAAATAAAAATGCCACATAAGAGCAAAAATTATTTTAAATAAATTTTAAAATCTCAGTTATTTTAAAATGATCTTATGATCCTATCAAATGATATAAGTACATTTTCAGAAATGAAAAACTTTCCGACTGATTTTTGAAAAACATATAAGATTAAGACTATAAGACTATTTAAAAGCAAATAAGAAATAATTCTTGTTTTACTGTTTTTATATACAAGTTTACAGATAACGCTTATGCTGGATTTTTATTAGAACACCATAGTTAAGATATTTATGAGAATAAATTTATGAGACGACAATTTCTATATTCCATATCGTTATTTTTAAGCCTCTGTCTTTTTCTTGAATATAATGCATTTAGGATTGTTTTGGGTTTAACTTAAAAGCATGTAATATCATTTTCACCTACCCAAAGTTCTCTTGGTCATAGCGTTAAAGCCATAAACACATAGCCTGGAGAGGGCTTCGGGCAGCTTACTGCCGCACAACTTCATGGAGGCCTGGACACTGCCGATCATCAGGATGAGCAGCAGCAGGCTGGGCAGCAGGATCCTCCTCTCCCCATTCCGCCGCATGATTCCCGATTCGTTGCCCATGAGTGGTGGAGTGCTTTCGGATGCGATACTATCCCCGTCCCTGTTCCTGAAGTTGATATCTGCCAAGTGGCCCGGCCACAACTGTTTGGCTCCCAGCCATCGGCAGAGGGTTTTATATGGTGCAGAATCGGATACGATCCGAGTTGGATGTCTGGTGCTCGTATCCAGCGTCTGAGCACTGTCAAAATGCGTTAGCCATGGTGTCAGTTGGCACCATAGTTCGGTCTGGTTTAGTTTCTCGCCCCGGTGTATGGTGTTCGGAGGGTGTGGGTTGTTATTTATCCCTTCGTGCGGGAGTGGGATGTCTGAAATGATGAGCCTGGGGGGGTCTTACGCATATCAGCTGACGTTTGTTTACGTTCTCACCCAAGAAATAACGCACGGATCTGGATTGCTGAAAAACAAGATGACGTGCATCGAGTTCCCTTCGGCGGGAAAGGGTGTTCAACAATTTTGGCATGGTGTGGCATTACTCATTTGGAGTTGGGAAACTTTAAGCAGAAAAGCTTTATCCTGGTCAATTTCAGGAGTTTAACTAGCCCTATAAATATTTAAGTATCTACTTCGCAAAGGTCGTTCATTAAAATGGGCCTCTATACCGTATTACCGGGCTTATATCTGCGTAAAAAATTTTAACAATGTCACGTTGAAAAATAAACGACTTGAAGCTATTTTAAAAACTAAAGTTTTCTCTATTCGAAATATTGACTGTATATGAAAAACAAATCTTTTTATTCTTCAGAACACAATTTAAGTGGATGCAACTACAACTGTTCTTAATGATAAATTTTACAATTTTTTTAAGTTCGGAAAACAATCATAACTTTTAGGCAACCTTATAATTGTGATGACCAAACAGAAGCCGTGTGATTTTACCAACAACTTTTGCAGCTTCTCAAAGTCAATCATCTTTTTCTCATTTAAATAAAAACAAGAGCTAACTAATGCCATTCCTTTTCACTCGAAAACAATAACTTTGCTTTTGTTATCTCATTATCTTGGCTAAGAGCCTCAGCACTTTATGGTTTTCCCAGCTCCCTTTTCAAATTGATAACCCGGCTAAGCCTCTGAGTCCTTTGCAAATCAGGTAGATTTTTACCTGTAAGCCCAGAATTATTATCACTGCAAATCGCTATCTATGGGAAATCCCTACTGCTGATTGGAAGTTGTTTACTTGTTTACACATCAGTCGATAACAACAGTAAGTAAAAGAGAAGAAAAACTGAAACTGAACAAAAAAATGAATCTGAGTGTATTCCCCGTTCGTTTCGCCTCAGTCTTTGTTTTGCTTATTAAAACCAGAACGTCATCTAATTAAATATTCATAATTTTCATTATTGTTCTCGGAAAACAAGAGCACCGCACGGTAGGTGCTGAATGGCAGATGCCTGTGGGTGGTTCTTGGGTTTGGTGTTTGTTTTTTGGGTGTTGATGGGTGGGGGATTCCCCTTGCCGCACAGCTGGAAGGCCGCCGGGCCAAAAACAAAAAGAAAAAACAAAGGACTTTGTTTTTTATTGTTGCTGCTGGTTGGAGAGTAACTTTATTTGCTTCCACTAGGAATTTACAATGAAATATTTGGAAATACGATTATAGTTAGGTTTAAGTGTATTAAAATGAGTTGGAAAACGCCTGCCGGCCGGATGCCTCTGGGAATTGTCCTTAAACTGGCCATCCTGCCCGCTGCCATCACAAAATTTAAGTCATATCGGGATCATTTTGGTATCTGAGGTTTCTTTTTTTTTGGGGATCTGGTAACTGGAGGATCTGGTATGTGATCATAGGGCGCAGTAGTCCATAATATCGTCGTAGGTGCAGCCATCCTTGCAGCACTCGTGGGCAATATTCCGTCGGTGGCGTCGCAACTTGCGCTTACTTCCATTGGATCCTGATGGATCCTTTTCCGTTTCAGTGTCCTGGAGCTTACGGATCAGGGTGCGCACTCTATCCTTGGGCACTTCTTGAAAGTTAGTTAGATCTGACTTATCGACTAGATGTGACTTATCGACTCACCACTATTGCTCCGCTTGACCCTGCTCGGGAAGCCCTTGACACATATGAAATTCAGTTCTCGGATCAAAGCCTCGCCGCACATCTTCCGGCGTCCCTGGACCGGCTGCAGCAACTGCGAGGCGGTGGCCACCAGGAGCAGCAGCGCCAGCCCCAACCTGATCAGGCTCATCCTGCTCGATCTTTGACTCCTCCGTCCGTGCTCTCACCGGGCATGAAAAGTATGCCTCCTATATCTCTGGTACTCGGTCCTATCGCGAACTCTTGCTTCTCGTACTCCTGGCAAACCTATCGATGGGCATGCCAAATGAAACTGATCTCTGGAGTTGGCCGGCACTCAACACGTTGCCTCGCTAATTGACTGACTTTGTGACTTCGTCTTGGCCAGGTAGAAACAGGCTCGGCTTAGCTCAGGTCAGGTCAGTCAACCAGTCAGCTGCAGGAAAATCTGGAGGACTTCCAGGTTTTCCTTACTTCAATGCTCGACCAGCCGGCCAGCAAATGCCTGGGAAATGGCTTTTCCCGGCCAGGAATTGCCCGACTTAGCCAAAGTCAAAGTCTAATCTCGATCCTTGCTTAACAAAACAGAAATACATACGAAATTAGAAATTTGGATTTGGTAGTTTCTCAAAACAAAATTGTAGTAATTTTTTTGAAAATAAATGTAGCCCATTGAGCTTTTGGACCACTGTGGTAAAAATAAACGACAAACCAAAAAAAGTATTGAATAAATTTTGACTTACCAGCAACTATTTTGTTAAATTTAAGAAATTCTACTGTGTAAAGGGTGGTTTTCTCAATGTCATGTTAAGGTTCTAGATTAATACCTGTCTAGTTACCTAAAACATATGTACCTAGTCACTAAAATAAAACCTTACATGACTTTAACTCAAGGAGAAAAGTTAATATTACGTTGAGAAATCGGTCCTTAGTAAATATATTTTTTTAAGTTTAATAGTTTCCATAGTACTACAAAATTGTTTCGAAGTTTTAGAAAAAATCTTAATACACTGGAAATATATAAAATTCAAAGCAAATATTTTTTTGAGGTTTTAACCAACACATTTATTTAAAAGTTAATAAAAAATGTATTGTAAACCTTTGGGATTTTCTCTACTTATTTGACAACAGGCTACTTCTGGCACATCAGCGACCTTCACCTGGACACTTTCTACTCCACCCAGGGTGACATCTACAGAAGCTGCTGGGAGCTGACCCGATCGGTTTCCGGTTCCAGCGGCAACAATGCGGCGACAGCGGCTCCAGGTCCCTTTGGCCACTACAGCTGCGACAGTCCATGGAGCCTGATCGAGTCCGCAGTGAAGACCATGAAGGCCAAGCAGGGTGACAATGTGGAGTTCGTCCTGTGGACCGGAGATGCCCTCTCCCATTCCGCCCAGCCACTTTCCGAGCAGAAGCAGCACGAGATCCTGCGGAATATCACAGATCTGCTGGGACGCAGCTTTTCGTCGCAGTTTATCTTCCCGGTCTTGGGTCACGAGGATGGGAGTGGCAGCTACCGAAGATTGGGGGAACTGTGGCGACATTGGCTTCCCTCCGAGGCCCTGGTGACCTTCGACCAGGGTGGCTACTATTCCATCGAACAGACTAAGAGTCGCCTACGCATCGTGGCCCTGAACACGAATTTTATGCTACTTGATTCCGATTCCGATGCGGCTGCAAGGACATCGCATAGTTTGCGCTGGTCAACGGAATATTTCGCAGAACCCAAGGCATCCGTGAGCTCCATTTCTGACGAAGATAAATTGCTGGCGGAGCAACAGTGGCTCTGGCTGGAGGAGGTGCTCACCAAGTCCAGGGAAAAACAGGAAACGGTAGGAAATTAACTATAATATCCAACTTTAAATAGGTTTAACCACATTTTTTGTCCAAAGAACATTTTTCACATGGATTTTTTCAATAATTATTATTACCCAATTGTGTTTAAACTTAAATGTAACACAATTTTAAATCAATCCTTTTCGAGGCATAACATTGCAACAAACATTTAAATTTCATTGAAAAATTATCAACGCTAAAGTAGTCCTGAAATTAACGAGATATTTAAAATCATTTTTCATATGCAAATATTCAATATTTTCATTTCTCTGCCCATCGGCTATCACAGGCCAGAAAATCCAATCGGATAGCGTGCTGCTGCCCTTTTGATTAATTATAATATTTAATTTGCAGCAGGATGAATTGATTTCATTTTATTTTATTCGACACTTGGATTAAATGAACTGAAACAGTTGGCTTTCTGTCCCCAGGTCTATATAGTGGGTCACATGCCGCCGGGCGTGGATGAACGTCACCTGGGTCGCCAGCACAACAAGTTGACTTTCACCGAGCACAACAACCAGCGCTACCTGGAGATGGTCCGCCGATATGCCCCCGTCATCCAGGGTCAGTTCTTCGGCCACCTTCACTCGGACACCTTCCGCCTGATCTACGATGCCAAAGGTGTGTTATTGTGCTTGCTACAAGTATTATATATTAATATTTCATCTTTAGATTAAAGAGTTAATAGAATCAGCCCATATATTAAATACAAACTGAAGAGAGAACCACATTCCTATCTATTTTGACAATCCCCTAAGAAATTTAGTCTGTTGACCAACTACATTTGAAAATCCGATAAAAAATTGATTGGTAAAATCCACTATTTAATACTATAACAAATATAACGTAGTACAACTAATAATAAAAAAAATATATACTGTAAAGTGGTAAAACTTCTCGAAAATATTAAATCTAATAAAAATTAGTAAAATAACTATAAAAATACTCATATTACTATATACTAGTAAGATTACTTTAAACATAGTAAAAGTGCTCATATTACTCATATTAGTATATACTAGTACGATTACTGTAAACATAGTAAAAGTACTTCAACGAAACAGAAATCTAGACATCTATTATATAAAAATATTACCTAAAATCCATATTGATTTTTTAAAAACACACATAAATATATTCAAGCAAAGCCTACAATTTTCAACACTTTGCCATGCAACAAGTTTTTTCCTTTTCCATTTTCATTTTTAAAAATCACGGCACACCTGGCCGTGGAAAATTTCTTTTAATTTTGCACACAACTAACAATTGTTTCCGCCGACAGGCAATCCCATTTCGTGGCTGATGATTGCCCCATCGATTGTGCCCCACAAGGCTGGAATCAGCTCATCGAATAATCCCGCCCTGCGGCTCTACAAATTCGATACGGGAAGCGGCCAGGTGCTGGACTACACGCAGTTCTGGCTGGATCTGCCTTTGGCCAATCGGGCCAACGAGCCCACCTGGCAGCCGGAGTACAACCTGACCCACTACTACGGTCTGTCGGAGATCTCCGCCGTAGCCCTCCATAATTTCGCCGAACGCTTCACGGGCACCGAAGCCTCCTGGTTCACCAGGTAAATGGATGGGCCGATTATGACCGAGTTGATTGATCCTTATAGCTCACAGATATATTTGTTTGTGCAAGCGACATTTACGATGGGATATAATGTTTACTTTAGAGATAGGACTCCTTTTTAAATGGAAAATTAGTTTCTTAACATACTACATTTATTATATAGTAACACCAAAAGAAGATAGGTATTTAACTGTTTTTCATTTTCTTCAACATATTTAACTATATTTTATGCAGCAACTTCTTAAATTTCTGTCAGTTCTTAACAGATTAAGCAACCGAAAAATTCTCTTTAAAAAAGTACAATAAGTGTAAGCCCAGAAAACCATTTCATTTGCTAGCATTTCACGCTAAATTTATCCAATTATCGAAAAAAATGTTTTTTTTAAATCACTTAAATAATTTTTTTGTGTAAAGACTTTTTACCGGTTTATAGTATTTAAAAAACGTAATCCCCTTTTTTTCGTAATCGGCTACGCCCCTTTAAAATCCAGTTCTCAATTTACAAAGCCTGCTGGCAAAAAATAGTCAAATTATTTTTTTATGTGATCCAATAAATCCGTTTAAAATAAAAATTGGCTAAAAAAACGGAACATATGTGAGGCAGCTATATGTTGAATCACAACTTATTGTGCATTTTACTGTCAATGTTTTAGTAGGGATGCAAAAGTTGTTTAAAAGAATTTTTTAGGTAGGAAGTTTATACCAAGTAGTATATATTTTTTAAATTCCTGGAAGGACTTTAAAATTATCTCAAAATTGTTTGTATACAGATTGTCACCCACAATCACCCACTTACTTCTGAAAATAAGTTTTTGACTATTAAAGCATTTATAAAGATTTAAACACCATTAAAACTTTAAAAATTCTAAAAAAAATTCCAGTGAACAATTTCCATTTACATGAAAGATAAACACCCTCAATTATCAAATTTATGAGTTATTCATGAGAATGCCGAGCTCAACTAGGAAACCATTCAGAGTAGAATTTAAGGGGCCACAGGTAGACTCCTTCAATCAGGAGCACTTTCATCCGCACTTTCACCCGCCGACGAGGTGCTGCAATATGTAAATCAAAATGGTAGATAGCGGCTCGGCTAAGAGCATTTATGAAAGCCCAGCTGGCCGGCGATACAGGCTAAAGCAAACAGGGATTTCAAATGACACTCATACCACCGACTCCCGACCAGTGCCACTTTTTTCCGCCGTTTTAACCCACTTTTTTTTTGCTCCTTTCCCCCCTGCAGATACCACCGAGCCAACGCAGTGCGATATCATTCCGGGTCGGCCTGCCAGGGCCTCTGCATGCTCAATCATTACTGCGCCATCACGCGCCTGGACTACGATGAGTTCCGGCTCTGCCTGGAGACGGAGCAGTTGGCGCTGCAAGGACACGCCCCCTCTGCCCGAGCGCCCACATCCTGGAGCTGGCTGCTCGCCCTGCTCTCGGTTTTTTATGGCCTGCCCATGGGGTGGTGGTGGGTCGGGGGGCGATGCAACAATTGCCACATCCAGCGAATTTAAGCGTTCTCGCTTAAGCGGAACCATATCAATGCGGGGTTGGGCCCCAGGATGCGCAGGCACTCAGAAAAAAAAGGGATGCCATACGGAAATTAACTAAAAATTTTAAACTCCGCTAGCTCAAATGATAGGATTACCAAAAAAACGGTTCTCTTTTAGTTTTTTATTTATTTCTTTAACTTCCATTTCAAAGTATCACTTTAGTATTAGGTAAAAATTCCTTTAAAAAACTATACTACGATAAATTCAAATCTGTGACTCTGGGATTTTAAATAAATCTCTTATATGTAGGTATATTTTTTACATCCTAAACCTTAAAATGTTTACTTTTAATTTAAGTTGTTCCAAAACAAAACCTATAACCTGTGGATTTTATGATGAGAAGAAGTAATATGAACTCGTTCTATACCATATTTCCTTAAAAATAGATACAAAACCTTTCCAAACTTGTCTAAAAGACTTATAAATTAGTATTATCATAGCCGTTTTTAGTAATATTTCTTTTTAATGGTTTTATTTTTAAGTATTCTTTACACTCCTAACCTTGAGAACTTTTAGAATATGATATATGTATTTCTTCAGATAGCATTTTTGTAAAAGCCAAAGTCTCTTTCTTGTTAGTTCCATATTTTTTTCTGAGTGCTCTGATGGGGTACTAGATAGTAATGAATATAGGACGAGAAGGAGGATAACTTGCGCCCGGGCTGAGCGATTCCTATATACAAGTATAGCGCTAATTTACTCTCAATTATGCTGCATGCGAGCCAGTGTGCGTGCCATATCGTTTGTGTGTGTGATATGATTACAAAGAAAATCGTCTCTGCATATGTATTGCTCGGATATATATGCCTCTATGTATATGTGTATTGTATGGACTTGGATATGTATATGTATGTTTATCTGGATGTACTTATTGTATATGAAATAAACGAAAAATTTTTAATGTTACTGCCCTTGCTCAATTTGCTTTTCTGGCGGCACATCGTCTCTGCTTTCTATAAATATTTAAGCAACAAATTGTGGTGTAAATAAATGTGTTAATTTGCGCAAACAAGTCAGCAGTTAAATAAAACGATTGCAGATGTTGGCCTGGGCGGGGGGAGGGAATGGATTGTTACGAGGGTTCCGGTCTTTTTTTATGGCCAAGACCATTAAACGGCGAAAACCGCATCGCAGTCGTATAAAAAAGTCATTGCCCATGGCCTGGCCAAGTCGAAGGAGTCATGGACGTTTGTCTCACTATGGAGAGACATGCATATGGATGATGAGGGGAAGTGTTCCAGGGATATTCCGAATTACAATTTCGCCTTAAATTCACCGAAATTCATTGAGTATTTATGAAGGCAATCCAGGTATTTGCTTTAAATAATTATTTGGTGAGCCCTGAAACATTATAGTTTCAAATCCGGAACTATACATCTAATATTACTATTTTATTTGGATGGTTATGAACATACATATAAAGTAAATAATATAAATTAAATGGACAAAAATTATCTTTGTAAGAAATAGCAAGCTAAAATAACTAAATAACTAACTAAAATAATAATAATAATTGTTTCAATAATTTGACCATCTTTATATGGAGTTTTCTGAAAGTAAAATTAATTATTCGATCACAAGGGGGAAAAAGTATTTCCTTTCCTTAAAATTGGCTCACAAAATCGTTGTAGCAAAGAGCAGTGATTTTACTTTGATGAAAAACGAAAATTTCCTTTTGAACTCAAAAAGCTTTCTTCTTTATTGATTATTATTGCTTTGCTTTCTGGCGCTGAATTTCATAATACCTTAATATTTCACAACTTGTAGCGGAAAACAACTGGAAAAGTAGAGCCAGTTTACAGTCAAACATTTTGCCCCATTGCAAAGTTTTTGGTAAGTCACATAGTTCCCAAAAGTTCCATAAAGGTGCATATCGAAGTCGTTAAAGAAAATTTAAGGATCGCTCCCACGGCGATTTGCACCCTCACCCCCAAAAAACCAACTTAGTTTTCCCAATTCGGCGCCGAAAGATGGATATCCCAGTGCAATTATATGCATAATAGATAGGCATATCTATCTGAAAAGTCAATCCGCATGCAAATGAATGCCTTTCTGATTTGAATTTGATTGGGATGTTTCCAATTTAGTATCTGAGAACATGCCGCCAATGGCAACTAAGATACCTTGTATCGGACCGGAGTCGTTTCATAAGTAATGCATGAGCGGCCACCCAATGACCCCCAGAGCTTGTTGCACGGCCTTACGGCCACGGAACTCCAGAACCAACCCACAACCACCCTATAGACACCCACTTTCCATCGGCATGCGTGACTCTGCTACGTGATGGTCAAGTAAATTATAGGCGAAATTGAAACGGCCATCTTCGAGGATGCGGCGAGGCGGTTGGCCAGCAGTTCCCAACTTGGCCAAGAGGGAGTTCAAAACAGTCCGCCGACAAGTCGTTGCATAATTCGAGCTGCTAGCAGTTGAAAGCCAGAGAGGTGCCACCAATTAAATATACTTTTTAAATATTAAACAAAATGTATAGTATTTTTTACATTTCTCTAAAACTTAGTTTATTTATCTTACCATTCTTACTTGAACCAGCTACAAAAATATCTTAAGCTTGCATATATTTATCCATATACTAAATCTTCAATTTCTCCAAATCGACCTAGTAACAAGACAAACATATCTTTTAAGCCAATAAAAAAATAGCTATGTAAACAAAAAGCAAACACTTATTTGCTAAGTTCAATTCTAATAAACCAAATCCCTCTAGCTAAGCTGCCTAAAATCCACAGCAACAAGTCAAATCGCATATTAAATTTTGTTTTTGGTTCAATGACAATGTCAAATGTTGCTTTTCATATTTATTTTCATGCGAATTAAATAGAAATATTTGGCGAAAAAGTAAATATTTGTCAATAAATAAATCCACGTAGTTGATGTTTTATTTTGCCTTTCAAAATATGGCAAAAACATGAAATTATATTTGCACAAGTTGGTTCATTTTGATATTTATTAATTAGCAAAATCAAATATTTTGGAATATTGCGCCAAAAATTAATAAAAGCATAGAGAAAAATCAGAAAATATATATATATTAAATTTGAATTTAAATTATTTCCAAAAGTTTAGCGAAGTTACATACTTTTGAATAATAACACACATCAGCCAGCTGCCAAATTAAGCAATATGTTGTTTAGAACCTGGAGAACAGCCAGTTGTGGCTAGAAAAGCCCCGAGTTGGCAACAATGAGCATGTGGCAGAGGACCCGGTCCATAGGTAACCCGAGTCCATCAAAGTTGCACTTGCATCCAGAGCCAAAGTGACAAGCACATGCCGGGACACCCGCAGTCATTAAAGTTTATTAAGAAATTCTGCCAACTCTTTTTGGAGGGGGGTCTCTATTTTGGGCGGATGTGCTGGAGGTATTACCGAATCTTTGGGGACCTGGACCTCCTCCGCCTTTGCCACGATGGAAAAGGAAAGGAAAGGAACTTCAACATCAGGCGACGAAATGTTTTGGTTTTGTGGCTTTCGCAATTTGGCAAAGTTCGTTTGGATTTTAACTTGAATTGGGGTTTGCCGGCATCGACTGGGGGCCGCTCTTCCATCTTCCATTTTCCATCATAACGCATTGGGGGCCCCCAAGGACACCCACAGCCGCACGGAACTTGGCAGCCAAAATAATACACACGACTAAGCAAATACTTGGGGAGATGGTATCGCTAGGTATGGTGTGCTACACGGCACCAAATGATCTCATGTGTCCCAAATGACTAGTGATGAATAGCTTGTGAAAGTCATCCCATTTCTAATATAAGACTATTCTATGTAGAATAAAATAAGATTAAAAGGTTGAATAGACTTGTAGATTAAGAAAACTCGTTCATTGTAATACCTAAACAATATTCACAAGTTATTCATCATGAGACATTTCACAAAGTAAAGATATCCACTAACATAACTAAAATTATTTTTATAATTTTTTTAAATGAATAGATTTCTGTTAATCTTAGTTTTAAAATTATTAATGAAAGATATAATTTTCTCAATTGTAGTTTTAAACCCACATATTTGACAAATCAAGTTTACTATGTGAAATGACTAATGATGAAAACCTTGTGAATATCATAGAGGTTTTTGAATAAAATCATATTACATGTTGAATAAAATCGCAAATAAAATCGTTAAACATTTTCTTAAATGTTCCTTAACAATATGATCCCCCTTGCAGCTTGGATTAAAATAATTTTCTTTGGTGTACGTGCCACTATATTATATGGGCACATACTCACTCGATGTTCTGTGTATCTTCTGCCTGGTTTTTGCCTCTTTTCCGCACTTGGCCATGCATATGCGATACATTATAAACACTCACCTGTTCCACTCAGCTAGCAGCAGCCAAGAGCACATACTATATGGGGGGATATAAATATTTGCACATTATAGCAATGTATACAGTGCTCCGCTGCGCTTTGGATTCGGATTCAGATACGGATTCGTGTTCGGGTTTGGATACGGATTCTTTTGCTGCTGTTGCTACTACGGCTGCTGCTGCTGCTGCTGCCGTGGCCAAAAACAATTTCAATTCTAATGTGCCATTAATCATTCACAAACATTAAACATATTATTTTTTGTTGGCTTTCTAGCGTGAAATACAGGCAGCTTAGTTTCCTGTCAGGTGCTCTGCAGCGGAGCTTTTTGTGCATGGGTTAAATTTCGCTGACATGAGCAGGAGGGCACAGAGGGGTTAATAGGGGGAGGGGAGGAGGGGATAGGTAGCAGACAGGTGAGAGATGGCGAGATCCATTGAATGCACTAATTGTTGTGCTTGAGCGCACCGAAAGCACATGAACTTGTGAAATTGCAGAAATTGCAGAGTGCACAACAAAATGGCAGCGCTAAGTTGTTGAAACTGCCGAATCTGCTTCTGCTCTTGATGGGAAAACAAATTTTCCAAAAATATAAGCAGATGAAAACTAAAAATACTCCAACCACAAACAATGAGCGGGATAACGAACAAATATCGAAACGTGTGCCAATAGACGCCTGTCTAATGCCATGCTCGAATATCACACTGGAAAAAATATTAATTAAGTAATTGCTGCTAAGAAAAAGCACACAAACATATTTTATATCTAAAATAAAAAGTTCTTTGTCACTTTTATGCTTCTTAAAGTTATTTATTTAAACTAAATTATCTTTGAAAAATTTGATAAAAATATCAAATATTGTTCTTAAGCGTTTAAAAATTTCTAATAATCTTAAATCTACTTTTTAATTACTTTTTTTGATTTCATGTTTCTTAAAAACCCTTTTAATCTCGTTCTTAACAGCTTATTATTTTTTTTAAATTTGAAATCTACTTTATAATCTATTAATACTAAACAAATGTTTGAGTCTATAAAATCCCCCTAGTTTTTATACTCAAATATCTTTAGTGTACCCAACTATGAAAAATGTTATTGTTTGGTTGAGTATTAAATCGTACTGATGAAAGAAAACCTATGACTATTTCAGGTATCAAATAAATAAGTAATCCCCTTTTTGTTTCCGTGCAGAAATATCAATTGTGTGCGGTTTCGCTTCAATCGACTGCAAATAGAAAACCAATCTAAGCCCAGCTTGTGCTGCCAAAAGTATGCTATGAAAAAATATGAAATGTAAATAACTAAATATTTCCCAACTAGTCAGTATAACCCGCAGCTTTTAGCAGGGCATAAGAACTGCTTTCAATGGCTTTCCAAAAATCCAAAAATAAATGTTCAATATTTAGAAAAAGATGCATATAAAAATTGGTCTCTTGTGTGTGACTGTGTGTGCGAAAAGGTGGAGAAATGTTGTACATATATCGAATCGTTGTTTTCTTGTTAATTAGATGGTTTAGCACACACACACAGCAGAGCTGAATATTTATGGCTTTTCGGAATAGCGCTTCTTGGCTTGAAGTGGAATATTTTTTTTTATATTGTGTTCTGTATTAAAGAGCAGAACAGAGGCATACATATGTGATTAGCCCAGTGGCCGAGGGTAATTTATAATCAGCCATGAGTGGGCGTAATTTTCTATATCTTTTTGGATAAGGGGAGGGTCCCAGACTAACACACACACACACACCCGGTGGGGTGTCATCATCATCATAGCCCATTTTCCATGGAAAATATAAAAAAGCAACTAGAGCAAGAGCAACTTTTGCTGCTTTCGCGAACTTTTCCGTCGACGGCCAGTGGCAGCGACTTGCGTTGAGCGGCGAGTAACAATAATAATTCGCACCGTGGTCGCGAACGTGGTCACCACATCTCTGAGTTCCTGAGTTTTCCCCAGATCAGCGAGAGTCCGGTAATCAAAATTGCGAGTCCGGTACGACAGGTGCAGCTTTCTGTGGCCGTATAGTGTAATTTGTGGACTGCACGCGAGGCGCCACCAAAAGCCAAAAATAAATGCCAGAAAATGTGTCACCAACAAATAGTGGTGGCCACCGCACAATGCAAAAAATATGAAAAACTCCCCGTCGCGAACGGGCCATCAAAAATTAATTAAATAAAATGCATTAAAGTAAAACCAACCGATATACTCTATATATATATATATATTTATCTGCATGGATATATATATTTGTGGGCTCGCGCGTTGAATTTGCATCCAGCATGCACAAAAGCTAATTAGCATTTAAAGCACAATTAAAAAGTGGAGCCGTAAAGGCTGGCAAATGAAATCAACTTCAACCGCGAGAAAACCAAAAAGCCAAAAAGCGCAAAACCAAAAACTGAAAAACCAAAATACAGAAAAAACCGTTTGCTGCAAGTGAAACAATTAAATGACATTTTAAGCGCATTTCTTCCCATTTTCCCGTCGATTTTCTATATGGACTCTTTCTGCTATTTTCGTGGGGGAAAATTGCTTCCCAAAAAACGGGGGAAAAACTGTTCTGTGTGTTGAGCTGACATCGCTGGCGAGGACGTGGAAAGCCAAAACGAAAATCAAATAAATAAAATTAAAAAGAAAAATAAAAAACACAGGAAAAAAACGAAGAACTACTCTCAAAAATAGAATATTAGAGACGTGCTGGGGGAGGGTGGCAGTAAAAGTGCTGTAATAGTCGGGCCATAAGACCTGCATATACAATCTATACCTATAGATACGAATGTATCTATCCATCTTTCGCTGCCGCTGTCTCCATCTTGTCGCTCATCGACGGCGACCGAATATTTTTTTTATATATAATTCATTTTTTCCTGCTGTTCTCTTTTGAAACTACTCGGTGTGTGTGTGTTTGTTGTTGTTTTTGTTCTAGCTGGCGGGTGGGGAAAAGCGGTCTAAATATGTGGCCAACTAACAGTGGCGGCCGGCAAAAGGTGTCCCCCTGCAGCAGCTCTAAACGAATCACCCCTCAATATTGTGGGTGTCTTAGACAGCTTTTCATCCTCAATGCTTTGCTTTTGAACTTTTCACCATGCTAATCCTCTTTGAATTCGAAGTCAATGCCTTGCTCATCAAGGTGGTGATTGTGTTTTCGTTTTGAGTATCTGCCAAATGCGCTTCAATGTATTTTAATTTAATGCCATCATTCTTGTTAATTAGGTAATAAAAGTCACTCATCCATATGTGCAAGTGCGTAAGCGGTTCGGCTTTTGCATATAAATCATTTTAATTAATTGAACTCTCGTTTTCTGGCTGCAAATTTATCTACAATTTTACTCGCAATACATTCTTGCAATTTTTGGCTACAATTTATTGACATTATTTGTTAGCTATACTTAAAATATTTCATTTCCTAAAAGAAAACCATTTAAAAACAAATACTTTATATTTTTTGCCGTTTGAAATGCACATCAAATTGATTTATTTAAACAAACGTTTTCGTAAAATTTATTTTCTTTGTGAGTGCATTTTTAGTTTCAAACTAAATGATAAATACAATTTTGTAATTTAAATAATTTTGTTCAGCACCGAGAAACATTTTTAGTCAAAATTGATTAGTCTCTAAACATAAAAAATTTGAGAATAAGTTTGTTATTCATAATAAAAAATTGTTTTCTAAGTTTTAGTAACACCTAAATGGTTTCAAAGTTTCGTTCAATTTTAAAAAATTACTCATACGTCACGTATACATGTTAGATTTAATTCCAAAAAAATCATTTTCTTACTTACAGCCATCTTAGTTATTGATTTATTATAAGGAACAACAAATGCTTTGTTAAAATCTATTCCATTTAGATTACATACTTAGACACTTAGACACTTTTGATGAAAGGCAACACTACGTATGCGTGATAAACTTCGAAGCCAATGATAAGATCCTTTAGCGTTTTTTTTCAACAATCAACAGCAATGCCACTCATGGAATACAAATATTTGGAAACTCGTCTTATATTCCCTTTCTTTGTTGTGAGAGACGCTTGGCACTGCACTTTTTTCCGGCCGCCAGTGTGTTAGATTGTATCTGAATCCACGCACTCGCCCGTCCGCGGATACAGATACATTCCGGCGCTGGCGATCCGCTGCTGCTGCTTCTTCTTCGCGGCGGTGCCAAAGATGTGAAAATGTAGACTGATGAAACGGAATACAAGAAAAAAAAAGCAAAAAGAAAGAAAAACAAAAACAAAAGGCGCCGCCTCCGATGATCATTGCGTAAAGTTTAGCGTTTTGCGGCTGCTTCGCTGCTTCTGTTGCTGTTTCATTTTCAGTTTCAGTTTCAGTTGGCCGATGGTGCGCTTACAAAACGCCGGTTCTCGGCGGACGCGTTCGCTTTCGCGCTCCTCCAAAAAAAAACCGTTAACCCCGAGAACCCCGCACACACAGATACTCTCACCCACTCACTAACACACACACACACACCCACACTTCATTTTGGGGGCGGTGAAAGTGCAATAAGAAAGTGCAACAGTGTGTGGCAGGGCAAGGGGAAGCGGTGTTTATTAGGAGGGTTTTGGGCGGCACTCTGGAACCAACTTTGGCAATTGGCTGGCGTTATTTTTGGATTAAGCAGCGCCAAATTGTAACAGACGGTAAGCATTCACATTAAACCAAATAAATACGTATTTTCTTCCAGTGTGTCTGAGTGTGTGCTTGTACTTAACCCAGCTATGTGTGTGTGCGTGTGTTTATTTTGGAATATTAGTGTGCTTAAGTGCAACGCCCACCACCCACATCTAAAGCATAAACAAGTGGCTTGCACCGAAAACAAATTAGCCTTAAATATACTCAAATTTTTTGAGCTAATTATGAAGAATCAGGCGCCATTTCCCGCTTAAAACTTAGCAAACGTAAAAAATTATAAGTTTTTATCATCTCAAAGAAACAGTTTTTCACTCAAAAAAGAAATTAAATTTCAACTAATAAGTTTTTATGAATATGTTAATGTATATATTGACGAAAATCAAACTAATTTTAATAAAATCTGTATAACTTTTTCATATCCTTACCAATTTTTTGACTTTCCCTTTACTTCCAAAACGTTCCGTAGATAGTGTTAATTCTTTTTAAATCTTAAAATACACCTCTCATAATAAAATTATATTTTATGTTCTAAAAAACCAATAATACAAACTAATTTTTCAAGAAAGTATTTCTCATTCTCATTTGAAATGTTAGGTGTTTATATATATAAACATTATATTAAGACTCTTAACTTAAGACCACTGAAAACTAAGATTTAAATGGAGACATTAGAAATGAAAATGTTTATTTTTCACATTCAATCACAGAAACAATATCCGGCTTATCAAAGTGTTTAGATGTTCCATGCTGAATGCTCGCATTTTAGCCATTTAATTTAATACTTTTGTTTGGGTGTAGAAGCAGAATGAAATATTTGAGCAATTCAACAAAAACGTGAGCTGCCATAGAACAATGCCGAATTTTAATAATTAAATCAGCAAAAACATGGCAGGCAAAATCAACAGCTTTCATCCAGTTTCGGGTTTTTGGGATGTGCAATCCAACGGATTCTCATATGCGTCGGCACCCAGATTTGCGAAATTCCTCGTCTCGACGCAAATCTAACAATATTTGCACCTGATTCCAATGCACATGTGTGTGTGTGTGTGTGCCGAAACACACCCACACACTCGTTCACACATTTAGGCACCATTATAGTTTATATAGCACTCTCGAAAAGACACACCCACACATGCCATGGAGTCGAACCGATGGCTATGGCAGCGCTGATAATGATGTCGATGCCAAAATAAAGACACTCGAAAACGAACAGGGGAGAAATGTTAATTAGGTTATGGGGAAGACGTCATACTCTCACCTCAAGAATCGTATATTAATAGCCGATCCTAAAGGGGTTCTTGAAACATCAGAGAACATAGAAATATCTAAGAAATATTTATTTGAAATCAGAGGCTTTTAAACTAATTTACTTAAAGGGAAGGTAAGAAGAAACCTACTATATTATGTTCCAAGTTAACATATATGTAGGTATTTATAAAAAAAGGTTCCTTAAATTTAGAATACTTAATAAACAAGAGAATACATTAATCTGATTGTGATTTTTTTTTTAAATTGGCTTTGAATGATTCTTTATATTTATTAGATGTAAAAAATATTTTAGCATATCAATTAAAGGTGTTATAATCATTTATATATATATATATAATATTTTTGCTTATTTCTTTTAAAGCCATTAATCAAAAGAGAGTTTAAATTAAATTAGAAAATGTTGGAAATATGGATTTTTGTTTTTTATGAGTATTAAAAAATATTATTAATAATAGACTAAATTTAAGTGTACTGCCAAGAATACTTCAATTTAAAATTTATGAAAAAAATGCCACCTGCGTATGACACAGCTGTTTCTGGGGCAAAATACTTTCAAACATTTTAGTTAAACCTAAAGCATATTGAGTAATTGCAGAAAAATATTATTTAAAATTTTAGCTCAAGGCAATGGCTATGTGACATATTGGTTGATTGACTGTTGCCAGGGCAATATTATTTTTAAAATAAACATTGTTGGTACTTTTTACAATGAGTTTCCCTCTGTAATTTGAAAGCCTGTAACAGTTTGTTAAAACAAATGAAGTGGAAAACTCTTGGCTTTGCAACTGCGTTGTAATTTAAATGCACACATGTCCTGGGGCATGGTAATTTGTTTCGAAGAAGAGTATTGAATGAGTTGCTGTGTGGGCTGGCATATGGTATATGGGTATGGTATGGTATGGTATGGTATGGTGTATGGCATATGGCACAGGGTTATATTTTCTATGGTACACCCACACCCCTCTCATTCGTTCACGCTCATTTTGCCTTTTTTTGAAACATTATTTTTGCGAGAATTTTTTATGCAAATTCCCTTACAATTCCTGTGCTAAGTACACAGAGTGCAGCACGCACCTGTTTTTGTATCTGTGTGTGGGGGGATGTGACTGTGTGTGGGTTAGCTGCGAGTGTGTGGGTGGGGCTGTTTGGGTGTGTGTGTCTGTGTGTGTTTGTATGAGTTTTGTGTTAAACTTTAATTGGGACATCAAGTGGCAAGCTCTTGTTGCTGCTGGCTCTTTCTCTCTCTCTCGCTTTTTCTCTGTGTGTATTCCGCTGCTTTCCTGCCTTTTGTGTGTAATTTGCATAATATTTTATTAAATGTTGATTAATTTGTGCGATTCTTGGTCCGCTTCCGTTGCCCCTGTCAGAATATTGCGTGCTTACGGGGGCAGCAGCTGTGGCAGCTGCAACAGCACGGCAGCAACAGCAGCAACAGCAGCAGCACGGCAGCAACATCAGACGCAGGGCAGCAACAAGCAGCAATTAAAAGGCATAAAATGCGAGCAAACACAAAAATACTTCATTACGATTATTTCAAGTATCTTTTATTGCATTTTCCATTTTGCCCACACCACAGTTCCCTTGTGATTTTCTTTACGAAATGACGCAAATCTAAATAATGGTATCTTTTCCTCACAGCTGCTAATTTTATTTGAGGTGACACACAAGGCGGGAATTTCAAAATAGAGACATCGAATGAGAGAGAGATCTCGAGTGTGTGTGGAAAATATGAGTGTAGCGAATATACAAAAAAAAAATGTATAAATTGAGCACATTTCAATATTTTCGCCGCTGTCTTTGGCTCTATTTTTAGACCAACGCACAAATAGCACAAGACAACAAAATCGTCGGAACACACACAAAAATATTATATTTTTTTGTTTTGCCAGCCAGGCAGTGCTCAAATTAGTTTAAGATACATTTCTAAATGTGACAGTAGTGAGTGAGTGTCTCAGGAAATTGGAAAAATAAATACTATACGTGCCTTTTGCATATTCCCGATATTTCGTATGAAATTCCACATTTGTAATTTGTTAGCAACAGCTGTAATAACGAATCGAATTCCTAGAGCCCGTGGCCTTTAAATTATTCCAGTCTGCAATTGAGTGCTTTATTAAATAGAAAATTCATGTGTATCTTTAGTTTTTGATGGCATTAAAGTGTTATATATAGATCGTTGACATTGAAGTGTCTGATGTGTGCTGCTGGAAATATTTCTGAAATTATTTCGCTCATGTTTGAAAACTTTTATGAGTCTCCCAGTTTTTGTTTTGTGTTTATAATTAGATTTTCATATATGCATAGAGGAATATAGTGATTTGTTATACAAGGTTAAAAGAATTATCAAATAAAAGCGCTTTAATCGTCATCAAATATACAGGATTTTCATTAAGAGATAAAATAATATACATTTTGTAGAAAAATAAAATGGTTGTTCGTAAAGTAAATTATTAAGTAGGAGGAAATTAGCTTTTTTAACCTTTTCCAACCCTAACAAGTTGTAAACAATAATAAACCGTGTATAAATTATTATTTATGTAGCTTTTAAACACACAATTAACTTGAATGAATGGGTTGTTTAAGCTAATTAGTAATTATTCAATCCAAATAGCTTAAAGGGATGTCAAGAACTTAATATTTGCCCTATGAAACCCATAAAAGGCTGCCATTGAAACCTAATCGCATTATGCCCTTCTTTCAGTTAACTCCTGTTCCAATTAAGCTTCAACTTACCTTATCATCTCATTCAGTTTTGTTTTGCATTTCAATTACAGAACGAACAACGACCGACAATTAACGATTAACATTAAGTCCACTTGAAGTAGGATTCTTTTTAAAAACTGCCAGCAAAGAAGAAGAACAACAACAACAGAACACCGATAGGCGGAATTAAGTCGAGTAGAAAATTTTGAAAAATATTTTTTATCAACAATATTTTTGAAAAACTTTCGAAGACATCCGAAGAAGTAGCACACAGAGAGCCTCGAGGCAAACAAAAGGCAGCCAAGAAGGAACCGAAGTTAAACATTTCAAAGGAGCAACTTGAATCCGCAGGAAGAAGCAGTCCAGAAAGGATACACATATATATACGCAAAATATATATAGAAAATGGCCGCCCTACAACGGAAACTGGTGCACAAGCAGTTCAACTCGCCCATGGGCCTCTATTCCCAGGAGAACGTGAAGGCCACCTTGAACCGCGAGCTGAAGGCCTTCGGCGGCGAGGGGTGAGTACCGGGTAGAAAAAATTAAAAAATAAGAAAAAATAGAACGTACTCCTCCCTGTGTGGCCAAGCGAAATGATTATCATACATTTAAATGCATAATTTCATAAAATAGATGAAAGCAGCCAGCTGGGGAGGAGTGCTCGCAAAAGGTTCGGTGGGGTAGATGCGTTTGCTTTCCGCTCAGTAGAATTTCCAGTCACTTGTTGGCGACTCTGAGGGCATTAAATAGTTACGCAGTCTCTGGAAAAAACTAAACAGGCTAGATAAAGCAGTTAATTACTCCCATTTTCATATGCCTGGAACCTTAAAGTAATCAGAGACCAAATGCTTAACTTCAGAAAACAACGGGAAAACTAATGTTTTTAAGTAAAATAATAATTGCATATGGTTGGCTTCGTAAATTAGCCAACATTTTAGAAGCGTAGTATAGAAAATAAAGCAACCCAATTTTTATTAAATTAATATATGTTTTATAAACCTATTTTAAGTGTAAAAAAAATAAAAAATTGAACAGCTATACAAAAATTATAAGAAATTGCTTACATTTTCATTATAAATCTTTAAAATTGCTATGTGTAAAGACTTAGATAAAATATTTTACACATATTAAACCTTTAAAGGATGTATTTATTAGATATTTTCAAAGAATAATTTAATACGAATTTGACTTAAAACAGTTAACATTTAATTTCTTGATTACTATTTTTTGGCAATATTTTTTAATATTCTTTTATACTATATGTCTTAAAAACCTTTTATACGTTTTTAGTCTTTAGAATTAAAGTTAACTAATGATTAACTCTGGAAATTATTTATTAAGGATGCCAAAACTAAATTAAATTGCTTTACATGTCTAAAGTACAAACTTAAACTGAAAGGAATTAGTTAATTTATCATCTTATCATCTTGAGCAACTCTATTCACCTTCCCTTTGGAAATACAACTGGAAGTCTTTTGGTAACACAAGCCCCGCCAAAAGCCTCCAACATTGCTTGTTCTATTTTGACAGATACAAAATCCGCTGCCACAAAACAGGTGCACAAAACACATTAATTAGTGGGCGTCCAGGGGGGGATTATAGGGGGGAGGGGGGCAGCCCCTCACTTTGTGCACTGCAGCGCAACTGCGACGTCGACAGAGGCAGCAGCAGAGGCAGCGACTGCAACTGCAACTGCAACTGCTGCCAATTTGTTGTGGCACTGAGAGATACTCAAAAACACGATGAGGACAGCAACAACAAGCTCTACAATTAAATGCTTTGACGTTTAATTGTAATTACCAGAAAAGCTTTATATGCAGCCAACGACGACGCGTATCTCAGCGATGCTTTTTAGACTTGAATTTATTTGTAGCTGGTGCTGTTGTCGCGTTAACAACAACAACACTATACACGTATCTCTCCCATTGTTGTTTGCAATTGTTGTTTGAATAAACCGGCCTCAGCACACCTCACCTCACCTAAGCGATCCACCAGATAGATATAGATATAGTGGTGATCTGCTCTGATGAGCAAAAACTTTAAGTGGCTTTCAGTTATACGGTGACTATGCGTGCGACAAAACGTGTTCAACTGCAACGGAGTCTTTAAATTTAATTACCAAAGCCCAAAAACTAAAAACTGAAAACTAAAAACTTTCAATCGCATATTCGCGCGTGAGTGTGCGTAACGTGTTTTCCCGCATTAGGGAGTAACTTTTCCAAAAACAGCTGAGCCAAGGCTTCGACCCAACTTAAAACTTCGAAAATAAAATGTACGTGTAGCGAAAGCATCCCAAAAGATACTTTTTATATAAGGCCAGTCAAGTGTAAAAAGGAAATGAGGACCATTTCAAAACACAAACTTCATCTTAAGATGTTTTGAGGGATCTTAACAAAGATACATATATTAATATTAGAAATATTTTTATAATGAGTATATAAAAATGAATTTATTGGAGAATTGAACTAATTTGAGTAGTTCTAAGAGTGAACTTAAGTTCTCTTTCTTAACTTGAATAATATTATTAAATATATATTAAGAAAAATTGATGCCAATACTATTGAACTATATGAATATTATGGAAAATTTCCAATGAAAACCATGAGGTATCTTTGATAAACTCAGTAACAAACATATTATAATATTTAATTTTTTTTAAAATCACTAAAACGGATTAGTTTCTGCTTGTGTAAAGTAATTAAAAATAATTCAAGACGTCAGCGGGTCGATGAGTCACTCTGCATCTATAGTGCACTGATTAAATGCAACAGCATCGAAAAAGAACAACTAAAACAATGTCAACAAACAAGCGGCAGGCGTCTAGCCAAAAGTTGTGAGGCACCTCTTGACTTAATGCCCATCGGTGAATCACAGGGAAATCGCACAGTTAACCAATGAGCCGCAAAACTGAAATAATTACAAAATTGTTTTAATAATTATAATTTCTAACGATAATTGTCAGACGCCACTAAATGAATTTTTGACGAAACCACAATCGAAATTGAATGAATTGAATTTCACTTTATTTTTGAGTAAATATTTGCTTGCGGCAAATGAGGTTGTCACAATGTTTGCGATTGCTTGAAATTAATCAACTAATTAAAGTTGAGGCCGACAGTTGTGGGGGTGATTTCATTTCGAAGGGACTGTGACTGTGATTCTTCAAAGAGGTCAATGCTGAATCTAATGAGAAATGGTTTTCATTTCCTTTTTTAAATTCTCTATAAGCTTAAAGCTTTGCGATTATTTCTGTGGACTTTGTTGTCCATAAATTCTTTAAGGTCTTATCTCAGCAGGCACATTTTCTTAGCTTAAATATTTCTGTTTGTTATCTTTGTGCAAGGCGAAGCATTTCAGGCAGATTAAGATGATGCGTTGAGAGCAAAACATTTCAAGCAAATTATAATTAAAGTTGAAAACTCTTTTTGGCAGCTTAAAGAAAATCGCTAGGCTAGCGAAACACATATTTTTGTTTGTGCGAAATTTCCAGCCAACTTGCTGCGATTCAAATCAAAATTCGCTCTAACTTGCACTCAAAAGAAGCATTTCATGTACTTGGATACTGCCAGAGGGCTTTTCAAAATGGCTTCAAAACACATTTCAAAGAAAATAAACCTTAAACCGTCTCATTTGGTCATTGCGTTTAAAAACTTGAAATTAATATTATGAATTATGTTACAAGAAATTATCCGATTTCCAGTAATTTATGAGTGGACTCTATAACGATACAGTCTAAAAGTATGCAACAATATTTATTAACTCATAAGTTCCATGCATTCATTTAGAAACCAGACTATACTTTATTCACTGCATACTTGTAGACACCAAAAAACCATTTTAAAGTGATTTAATATAACTAATGACTTGTGTTGCACCCCCATTAATTCTAAAGGATAATTTCATGATTGTTTCTTCTTCATAAAGCAAATAGGAGTGTTTATAATTGCGCTTATATATTTTATTTGCATTTTTCAAAGGCGTGCATCATAATCAAAACCTAATATATCGTATTCATAAAATGGGCATAGAACAAGTAGCGTAACAATTTGTGGATTTAATCCCTGCAGTATTTCTTCATCGTCGCCTTGCTGCACGGCTTGAGGCAGCAGTCGTCCACAATACCCCGGTAAATGCGCTGCAATCCCGTCAGTGAGTTCATCCGGCCATTTTGGCCTTCGTCACCCCCTTCGGCCATCACATAATCAAAAATCACTGAAAATGATAGGGAAGCACAAGAAATCTCGTAATCTCGTGGCGTTCTGAAAACCAAAGAAGCATATACTCACTGGAGTCTCGTTTTTGATAAATTCCATTAAATCCGTTGGGGCACATCATTATCATCACTTCCATCAGGTTGGGTCCGCAAGCCCGGATATTTTCATTCATAGCTTCTGCGCATCCCAGGAGCGGGATCAGGAGCAGAAGCAAAGGGATCACTGTGCGGAACATCATGGTCTTGCTGGGCTTGCTGCTAGAAAGGATCTGATGCACTTTCCGCCGTCGAAAGCCACTTTTATATCCGCCAGCGCACTTCCACTTGTCAGTTCTGATTAGTCTTTTGGGGTCAGCGTGGGTCGAAGCGTGCCTGCTAATTTTCAATGTCAGGACATCGAAGGATACTACCATTAATTTATGCCCATAGCTTAGCATAACGCTGTTTTTAATAGCATGCACCAAATGGGTGGCGAAATCTATAAATAATACAAGCAACACAAGTTTAAAGCCCTATATTTAGACTCAACTTATTAGGGTTTTCATTTTTCGTGACTTAAGTTGGCCAATTACTAAAAAAAACCGTTGTTCCGAAAAGTTTAGACTATGGTTCCACCCAGATGTACCTAGGGTTGCACCAAGATGCAACACTCTAGACGCATTCTGGATTGCACCCAGATTCGTTCATTCCATTTTTCGCAAAAAAAGACGATGCACACCCTTACAAAAAATGCGAAAATTGGTCAAAAAATAAATTTTCCTTAAAGCAATTGGGATCGTTAGCAGAGGTAGCAAGCTGTTTAAAACTGTCGGTCTTTTAGCAGTACGCATTGATTTGACTAAACTACGACTGAAAAACTGGAAAGAAAAATCGTATTTTTGACTGATCTGAATCTCGTATTTTCGACCAAATAAAAATCACATTTTTTCGCCCTCAAAGTTCACTTTTTTGGCTGCTATAAAAAACGTTTTGTACCTAGGAATGCACCCAGATGTACATAGGGTTGCACCCAGATGTACATAGGGTTGCACCCAGATGTAGCTAGGGTTGCACCCAGATGTACCTAGGGTTGCACCCAGATGTACCTAGGGTTGCACACCTTAAAAAAAATGCGAGAATTGGTAAAAAAATAAATTGTTCTCAAAGTAATTGGGATCGTTAGCAGAGCTAGCAAGCTTTCGGTCTTTTAGCTGTACGCCTTGATTTGACTAAACTACGACTGAAAAACTGGAAAGAAAAATCATATTTTTGACTAAATTCTGAATCTCAAATTTTTGACCAAAATCGGAATCACATTTTTTCGCCCTCAAAGTTCACTTTTTTGGCTGCTATAAAAAAACTAAACGTCTGATCGAGGAATGTCCTACCTCGTTGAGCTGGTTGCTTAATTTCCAATCCATTGGCATTAAAACATGGAAATTTTTAACTTTTCGCATTTTTTGCAAAAAAAAGACGATGCACCCCCTCACAAATAATGCAAAAATTGGTCAAAAAATAAATTTTCCTCAAAGTAATTGGAATTGTTAGCAGAGGTAGCAAGCTGTTCAAAACTGTCAGTCTTTTAGCGGTACGCCTTGATTTGACTAAACTACGAATGAAAAACTGGAAAGAAAAATCTTATTTTTTGACTAAAATCTGAATCTCAAATTTTTGACCAAAATCGGAATCACATTTTTTCGCCCCCAAATTCACTTTTTGGCTGGGTTGCACCCAGATGTACCTAGGGCTGCACCCCTTACAAAATCGGAATCCTATTTTTTCGCCCTCAAAATTCACTAAACATTGTATTTTTGACCAACATCGGAATCCTATTTTTCGTCCTCAAAATTCACTTTTTGTCTGGGTTACTTAGGGTTGCACCCACATGTACCTAGGGTTGCACCTAGATGTACCTAGGGTTGCACCCCCTACAAAATCGGAGTCCTATTTTTTCGCCCTCAAAATTCACTGAATATTGTATTTTTCACCAACATCGGAATCCTATTTTTCGTCCTCAAAATTCACTTTTTGTCAGGGTTACTTAGGGTTGCACCCACATGTACCTAGGGTTGCACCTAGATGTACCTAGAGTTGCACCTAGATGTACCTAGGGTTGCACCCCTTACAAAATCGGAATCCTATTTTTTCGCCCTCAAAATTCACTGAATATTGTATTTTTGACCAAAATCGGAATCCTATTTTTCGTCCTCAAAATTCACTTTTTGGCTGGTTTACTTAGGGTTGCACCCACATGTACCTAGGGTTGCACCCACATGTACCTAGGGTTGCACCTAGATGTACCTAGGGTTGCACCCCTTACAAAATCGGAATCCTATTTTTTCGCCCTCAAAATTCACTGAATATCGTATTTTTGACCAACATCGGAATCCTATTTTTCGTCCTCAAAATTCACTTTTTGGCTGGTTTACTTAGGGTTGCACCCACAAGTACCTAGGGAATCCTATTTTTTCGCCCTCAAATTCACTGAATATCGTATTTTTGACCAACATCGGAATCCTATTTTTCGTCCTCAAAATTCACTTTTTGGCGGGTTTACTTAGGGTTGCACCCACATGTACCTAGGGTTGCACCTAGATGTACCTAGGGTTGCACCCCTTACAAAATCGGAATCCTATTTTTTCGCCCTCAAAATTCACTGAATATTGTATTTTTGACCAACATCGGAATCCTATTTTTCGTCCTCAAAATTCACTTTTTGGCTGGTTTACTTAGGGTTGCACCCACATGTACCTAGGGTTGCACCTAGATGTACCTAGGGTTGCACCTAGATGTACCTAGGGTTGCACCCCTTACAAAATCGGAATCCTATTTTTTCGCCCTCAAAATTCACTGAATATTGTATTTTTGACCAAAATCGGAATCCTATTTTTCGTCCTCAAAATTCACTTTTTGGCTGGTTTACTTAGGGTTGCACCCACATGTACCTAGGGTTGCACCTAGATGTACCTAGGGTTGCACCCCTTACAAAATCGGAATCCTATTTTTTCGCCCTCAAAATTCACTGAATATTGTATTTTTGACCAACATCGGAATCCTATTTTTCGTCCTCAAAATTCACTTTTTGGCTGGTTTACTTAGGGTTGCACCCACATGTACCTAGGGTTGCACGTAGATGTACCTAGGGTTGCACCCCTTACAAAATCGGATTGTCATACCTCGTTGAGCTCGTTGCTTAATTTCCAATCCATTGGCATTCAACCCTGAAAATTTTTAAATTCACTTTTTGGCTGGCTTACTTAGGGTTGCACCCACATGTACCTAGGGTTGCACCCAGGTGTACCTAGGGTTGCACCCCTTACAAAATCGGAATCCTATTTTTTCGCCCTCAAAATTCACTGAATATTATATTTTTGACCAACATCGGAATCCTATTTTTCGTCCTCAAAATTCACTTTTTGGCTGGGTTACTTAGGGTTGCACCCACATGTACCTAGGGTTGCACCCAGATGTACCTAGAGTTGCACCCCTTACAAAATCGGAATCCTATTTTTTCGCCCTCAAAATTCACTGAATATCGTATTTTTGATCAACATCGGAATCCTATTTTTCGTCCTCAAAATTCACTTTTTGGCTGGGTTACTTAGGGTTGCACCCACATGTACCTAGGGTTGCACCCAGATGTACCTAGAGTTGCACCCCTTACAAAATCGGAATCCTATTTTTTCGCCCTCAAAATTCACTGAATATCGTATTTTTGACCAACATCGGAATCCTATTTTTCGTCCTCAAAATTCACTTTTTGGCTGGTTTACTTAGGGTTGCACCCACAAGTACCTAGGGAATCCTATTTTTTCGCCCTCAAAATTCACTGAATATCGTATTTTTGACCAACATCGGAATCCTATTTTTCGTCCTCAAAATTCACTTTTTGGCTGGGTTACTTAGGGTTGCACCCACATCTACCTAGGGTTGCACCCAGGTGTACCTAGGGTTGCACCCCTTACAAAATCGGAATGTCATACCTCATTGAGCTCGTTGCTAAATTTCCAATCCATTGGCAATCAACCCTGAAAATTTTTTAATTCATTTTTTGGCTGGTTTACTTAGGGTTGCACCCACATGTACCTAGAGTTGCACCTAGATGTACCTAGGGTTGCACCCCTTACAAAATCGGAATCCTATTTTTTCGCCCTCAAAATTCACTTTTTGGCTGGTTTACTTAGGGTTGCACCCACATGTACCTAGGGTTGCACCTAGATGTACCTAGGGTTGCACCCCTTACAAAATCGGAATCCTATTTATTCGCCCTCAAAATTCACTAAATATCGTATTTTTGACCAACATCGGAATACTATTTTTCGTCCTCAAATTTCACTTTTTGGCTGGGTTACTTAGGGTTGCACCAAACATGTACCTAGGGTTGCACCCAGATGACCCTGGGGTTGCACCCCTTACAAAATCGGAATCCTATTTTTTCGCCCTCAAAATTCACCTACAAAAAATGAGAAAATTTGATTAAAGTAATTGGGATCAGTAGCAGAGGTAGCAAGCTGTTCAAAACTGTCGGTCTTTTAGCGGTACGCCTTGATTTGAATAAACTACGACTGAAAGACTGGAATGAAAAATCGTATTTTTGACTAAAATCTGAACATCGTATTTGACCAAAATCGGAATCCAATTTTTTCGTCCTCAAAATTCACTTTTTGGCTGCTATAAAAAAACTAAACGTCAGATCGAGGATTGTCATACCTCGTTGAGCTCGTTGCTTAATTTCCAATCCATTGGCATTAAAACTTGAAATTTATTAACTTTTTGCATTTTTATACCCGCTACTCGTAAAGTAATAAGGTATACTAGATTCGTCGGAAAGTATGTAACAGACAGAAGGAAGCGTTTCCGACTCCATAAAGTATATATATTCTTGATCAGGATCAGGATGAACGCTGAGATCTCGGAAACTATAAGAGCTAGGCTATTGAGATTTGGCGTGCAGATTCCTGAGCTTCTTACGCAGCGCAAGTTTGTTTCAGCAGAGTGCCACGCCCACTCAAACGCCCACAAACCGCCCAAAACTGTGGCTCCTACAGTTTTGATGCTAGAATACAAATTTTAACTGAAATGTATTGTTCTCATCAATACCTATCGCCGGTAGGTGGCGCATTTTAATCTCGCTTTGCTGCTTGCATATCTCCATTTCCCTTTGGTCCCTTTAGCTTAGTAACGGGTATCTGATAGTCGAGGTACTCGACTATAGCGTTCTTCCTTGTTTCTATTGTTTTTTTAAAGTAAAAACAACATTTATCTGGACTTTTATTTATAACTATTCTTCCGTATGAACTCTGAGTTCTCATAAACTATAAAAGCTAGAAATTTGGGGTTAAGAATGTAGATTCTAGATATTCTTGCGCAGCGCAAGTTTGTTTCATTAAAGTGCCACGCCCACAAACCGCCCAAAATAGTGGCGCTTACAGTTTTTATGCTACAATAAACCTTTAAGCTGAAATGTATTGGTTTCGTCAATACCTAACGATTAACGTATAACGACCATAACGCTGAAACCTGTCTGACGCCCACATTTTTTAAGATTTTGTAAAAGTGTTAATGAGTGTTAAAGAATGTAACTACCACTAGGTGGCGGCCTGCAATTTTGATACATTTTTTACACGAAAAATTTTTTGCTTCATAAAAAGTGGCTCACTCGTTCAAAAGTTGAAGTTCTCAACGATTTTCGACCACAAAACGTTAACTGTTTATAGATTGGAAACAATTTATAATAAACGTAGCTTAAGGCCACAGTTGCTATAGCTGCAATAAATACCCGAGAATAAATAAATAAATAAAAATAAATTAATAAATAAAATGTTTTGGTGTACGTCAAAACTATCAAGTACAAAATATCAAAAACGACGAAAACAAATTCGGCTTTGGCTGGCCGGTTTTTAAAATTAGGTTATTTCAATTAAAACGTAATATGTTGTATGTATATTAAATTAAAATGATATCTTATGATTGCTCCCTCCTCATAAAAGTACATAACAGTGTTTGTAATTGCGCGTATATATTTTATTTGATTTTTTCAAGGGCGTGCTTTATAATCAAAACCTAATATATCGTATTAATTTAGTAGGGATAGAACAGTTAGCGTAACAAATTTTTGGATTCAATCCCTGCAGTATTTCTTCATCGTCGCCTTGCTGCACGGTTTGAGGCAGCATTCGTCCACAATACCCCGGTATATGCGCCGCAATCCCGTCAGTGAGTTCATCCGGCCATGGTGGTCTTCGGAAACCGCATTTTCGTCACCATCGGCCATCACATAATCAAAAATCACTGAAAATGATAGGGTGCCACATTACAAAAAGTTCACTTTTGGGGTTTTAAAATCCCACACAAAAAATACTTACTGGAGTCTCGTTTTTGATAAATTCCGTTGAAGCCGTTGGGGCACATCGCCGTCATCATTTCCATCAGGTAAGGTCCGCAAACCCGGATATTTTCATTCCTCGCTTCTGCCCATCCCAGGAGCGGGATCAGGAGCAGGAGCAAAGGGATCACGGTGCGGAACATCATAGTCCTGCTGGGTATGCTGCTAGAAAGGATCTGATGCACTTTCCGCCAATGGAAGCCACTTTTATATCCGCCGGCGCACTTCCACTTGTCTGATCTGATTAGTCTTTTGGGGTCAGCGTGGGTCGAAGCGTGCCTGCTAATTTTCAATGGCAGGACGTCGAAGGAATCTGCTTTTAATAGGATGCACCAACGGGATGTGGAGTCTAAAAATAATACCACCAACTCTTTTTTCAAGCCATATTTAGATTCACTGGTTTTCACTTTTAATGACCCAAATGAGCCAACAACTAATTGAAAAATCAAGGTCATGGATAAATGAAAGTATTCAACAAGGTTCGGTTTTAGTTTCCTAAAATAAGATATAATACATTTAAATACACAAATGCATAGCAAAAGTATAACAATAATACAATTTTATGTGTTTGATAAATTATAATTTATATTTTAATTCGGGCGAATTGCATTGAAATCAAAATGTAAATTCAAATTTGGCGCGAACGTTAAGCAGTGTAAGCAGTTCAAGCAGTGCATGCCGCGAAATTCAAAATGCTTTTTAAACTACTATCATTATATGCAGATTTGTTCAAGTATTTTGCGTTCTTTATACTTTCTAGGATTGAAGTCGACGACCAAATCTCGAAGCCCCTGAACCTGGCCAACTCGGCCGTTCTGCGCGCCGTCGAAGAGGAAGAACAACAAGCCAAATCTGGTAAGATATTATTATATGTTAGAACTTTTCCTGTATTCGTGCCTATTATATGTTGCCAAAAAAAAACATAAAGAAACAGTGTGAAAACATTCAACAAAACTGCCACCAAAAGTCCCAGTGCGCGTCCAATTTAGGTGTTAAATTGCAGAATAACTTTAAGTAAATTATATGGGGCTTACGCCTCCAAGATTTCTACCCCACTGAAAGGCAGAGCCGCCGGCGTCAGCGTGGAGAGGGGGATGCACTGCATCACACGCTGCACCAGCAACTGCTGGACCAGATCAAGACGGACTATCTCAGCCACCAGCAGGACATCACCATCGATCGGGACACCGTGCTGAAGATCAATCGACTGGCCACCAAACGGCATTTGCTCAAGAGGGATCACAGTTGGCCACCATTGGAGCAGGATGTGGCTAGCAATGCCGAGTCCCAGGGTCATCAGATCTCCTGCAATCCCTCGCACAGTATTGAGGCTCTGAGAGAGAAGTTCCAGAGTCCCACAAGGATTATAGAACCAACGGCTAACCAGGTGAGGGAGCAGCGGCAAAGGGAGGGTGGCTCCAAGGAGAGATCCAAAACGCCCCAAAGGATTTCAGGTGACCGTGACCTATCAGAGGTTTTCCATCAAACTCCCGTCTCCAAAGGCTTCTCCGCTCCCGAAACCAAGGCAGCCGATGTGGACTTGGGTTTGGTGGCACCACGATGTGAATACTACGAGCAGTTGGCCCACAAAAGGCCCTCAACTCCAACGCTACCCACTCCAGTCACACCTTACCGGCCAAGACCCAAGAGGCAGGCCTACTCCCTGGATCGTGGACGCTCCCGTAAACGGACAGTGGGTGCTCCGGAATTGCCACCACCCAAACCGAGGACTTCCAAGCCAAAAGTCCAACGCAGATGCATCAAACTGGCCACCGAGGTGAAGATCTCCTATGGCCACGACGGCGACAGCGAGGAGGAGCCCAATTCTGGGCAAGATGTGGACTTGGAGACCTTGCCGCTGCCGCCGACACCAGCTGCTGCGAAACTCAATCAGGCGAATACAGCGGGCCGTGGGGTAATTGACAACCTGGCAGTTAAGCAGCAGCAGCAGATGGCCCTTTCATTGGCCACAAATGGGAGCATTAGCCAGCCGAATCCGTACCCAAATCCAAATCCCTCGGCCAACACTCGTATTGTGCCCGTTCGCGTGGAAACCTCGACGGATCAGCTGAAGCTGAGTGCCCAGCAGATCTACGACGACGCCTGTTCGTATCTGCAGGATCACCAGGAGATGGAGGAGGAGCGGGAGAGTCCCACCTATGTGAGTGCCACCGGTGGCATCAAGTTGCTCCAGCGACAGGGCAGCAGCTCAAGCGCGCCAACAACTCCAATTCCAGCGCGACCCACTCCACCGCCACCCGTGATGCGTTCCAAGTCTGGCCAGGATTCCCTCACCAAGGAGAAGCAAACGAGGAGGCAGGGCGGCATCTACCGACTGGAGACCGACACGGAGAAGCAGCACGAGGCCCATGTGGAGATTGCCCAGCTGGAGGCGAAATATGCCCACATACAGCAGTCCATAGCAGAGCACTTACTGCAGATCGATGCCTATATGGAGAATGCCAAGCAGGCGCTGCAGAGGAGTGCCCAAACCACACCGGTACCTACTCCTCCACCGCCACCACCTCCACCACCGCCACCACTCATACCAGCCAGACCCATTAGCTCCGGATCCAATGATTCCTGGGAAATTTTCGCACATCGACAGTCACCCATTTTGGCCGCGGAAAGTCCACTTCAAGCCATACTTCGCCAGATTTACACCCGGGCAGCTGGATTACCCACGAGACTCTCGAAAGAGATTAAAGAGGAAACCGCCGCGGAGGAGGAGGCGGAGGAATCCCTAACCGAAAACGTGCCCATTGTGGAGCGGGCTCTAGAGGATCTGCACAAGATTGCCGTGGCTCTAGAGCAAAAACCGGAATCCGCGGAGCACATGCACGTAGAAATCCGGACAACGCCAGCTGTCATTGAGGCGGAGCACGTAGTCATCAAGGACGAGGACGAGGAGGTGGACGTGGATGTGGATGTGGACATGGAGTATAGACACGTATCGGATGTAATTGCCAACTACGAGCAGTTGGCCAAAAAGGAGTTCGGGGAGTGGAAGGAGGAACAGGTGGGCAAGAAGGAAATGGGGGAGGTTAAGGATGTTAAGGAGGTACCACCCAAAACAGAGCTACGGAAAGCCATAGAGGAGCAGCTGGCCAAAAAAGAGTTGAGGGAGGCTAATAAGGTTATTCCAGGGGAAGAGAAAAAAATATCTATAAAAGATGACAAACAGGATGAAGAACCTTTAACCAAAAAGGATATAGGAAAAGAGGAATTAGTTAAAAAATCAGAATTACAGGAGAGTAAAAAGGAGTTAGAAACAAGTAAGACCCAAGCAGATCTTCCGAAAACTGAAGAAGTGATGGATAAAGAGAAGTCCTGCCTCCATGAAGAGACCTTAACCTACTGCCAAGTTTGTGATGAAATGCGCTGCTCACCCAATAACTGGGCAAAACTGAACAAAGCCGACCAGTGGCGCATTGCTAACCTCCAGAACGAATCTTTAAAGAACTACAAGGCCACTTATGAGGTAAGAAGCCCTTACATCTCGCGGCAGATCTCCTGGGAGGACACGCAGTCGGCCAAGGAGAATACCCCACCCGAGAAGCTGCAACGCCAGCGGAGCTTTGTGGAAATTGTGACCACTCCAGCTACTCCAGATTCTCCGCCACCAACGCCACCGCCTCCTCCACCGCCAAAAAAGAATCACCCAACTTTGCATCAACCGGAAACGGAAGTAACCTGGGAGCGGAGTCGTTCGCCCAGTCCGTTGCCTTCTCGCAAGTATCCTGCTCCTCTCATAGAAGCCCCACAGCGTTCCAGCTCACCTTATGGTCTGAATCCTGTCCAGACGAAGCCACCACCATCACCTGTCAATCTTCCGGTGAAGTACTCGCATGTGCCGCAGCTGGAAGGCCACAATATTGGACTCCTGGTGAAAACCGCCACGGAGCCACTGCAGCAGAGCATGTCGGCATCCTCCTCAATGCTGGCTGCCACGCCCCCGGCCACGCCCCGTTCTGCGGCACAGCCCTCGCCCTTCGAATTCCCAAGTCTCGAGTCGGGGGATCAGCACAAATTCCGATCCCTGGCTTCCTTCGACGAGGTGCAGCGGGATTTCAACGTTAACCGATCCTTCGATAATGTCTCGCCACGCCCATATTTGGGTATTGAAGGTGCGTCACCAGCCCACCGATTTCTGTATACCCCATTTGTGTTTGTGTGTCAAGGTGTTCTCCCCCATGATTCGATATATATTAATCCCAACATTCTTCGTGGTGACTCAGTGGATCTTGAATCATGGGCACTAAGGGATTATTCTTAGAGAAAAAATTTCTTAATCCGGCTGCCTGCTAAAATTGTTCATGGTTTCAATTCTTAAGCTTACAAGTTTAAGGGAAAACAAATTGATTTATTTTTAAATACAAAGCAATCGTACCTAAAAACTTATGAATAGGGAATGTTTTTTTTAATTTTACAACGTATTGTTTTAGAACTATTTTTTGCAAATCAGTAATTGGGATTATATTTACTTGTGCATATAGCATTATACTCTAAAATTTCAGACTCATTCGTCTTATTTTTTATAGGTAAAACACATGCTTCTATTTTAGAATTATATTGCCCATTTTATCTCTAGACTTATGTCACCGAAATTCGTTGCCAAATGGATAAATATATAGATTTTTTTACAGATAATAATACAGGGATAGTCTGAAATACGTATTCCAACATTTGTTGTCTAGTAGTTCAGTTTTTAAATTGGGTTCCTCATAAAACTTGACAATTATATGTAAACCTTTATACATGTCTGTTGAAATTTTTTGTTTATATGTAAACACCAGACTCATGTATACCTAAAATCAAAATGAAAAAAAAATTAATTGTCTTAAGCATGCACAAATGACTCTTTGTGGGCCAACTAGATAATGTAAACCCAAATTTTTTGTATTTATCTGTGACGTTTGGCGGTCATCAAAACGAATTTGTTGCGTGGCTAACGAGCAAACCATTCTTATTATATCAAATAATTGTCTATGAATACATGGGCGTTTATATGGGATGCATGGTTTGATATGGCGGCTATATTGCAGATATATCAGACATATGAGTTACAAGTTTGCTAATAATTTTAATGAGCCAACTTTTGTCGTACACCTGTGTGAATACGTTTAAAAACAGATTTGTTTTAGTTCGCCCAAAATGACAGCCGTTTAAATTTAGCCACCGATGTCGCTGGCTTTGAGTCACAGACTACTTATATCTAATGCTATGGCCACAAGATAGATGATAGATAGTTAGTTGGCTGGGATCAGGCAATATCCGCAAGATAGATGGGTGTGCGCCCACTTGATTTGCCGCTGAGGCATAACAAATCGCCATAACAAAATAAACAGTAGCCAACCTACTTGGGAATCCTCTATAGATCTGGGCAAAGAACCTCAAAAATGCGGCTGTATCATCCATATCTATATATATATATACAGATAGATATAGATAGATAGCTACCGCGAGTGAGGGAGTGGGCATGATGATCAGTATTTCAAGGTGGGGCCCACAAATCACACAAAAATCAAAGGTGTAAACAATGCCAGGAGTTGATTGTGTCTCTCAGGGGCGGGTGGCGGGGTTTGGCTGAGGAACCCAGATCAAGATCAGCATACTTAGCAGACCCTCGCGTAATAGACGTGTGTGAGATATAAGTATTCTCTCGGAGAAGTCTTTACTTTCGCGCATCTCGCGAATACGAAAATCCTAACGCCGAATGTGTGGGTTGGAACCCACACGAGTGCCAATGTTTCTACATCTTGGCGCTGGCTAACAATAATTTCCTCTGCATTTCTCTGGCTCCTCACTTAGTAGCATACATCGAAGGCAAACATATCGCAGCGCGAACGATCAACGAATTAGCAAATAGAAAATAGCCAATAGCTATAATAGAAAATAGAAATTAAATTGGGCAAACGCACGCGAATCGAATCGATTTAATTGAATTTTATTAAAAAAAAAACAAAAAATACTCAAACTCAATCACCGTGCTTCCCGAATCATTTTATTTCGAATTTTTCAACGATATCGATCCGAAGGATAAACGAAACGCGCGCCGATCTGTAAATATAGCCTAAATAGAGCCATAAATCAGCGAAACCGAAATTCGAAATACCGTGTGGTGTTCCCAGCAGCTGACTCTCCAAATATCGTATTCGATTGATTGCACCTCGGGGTTATATAACGCTCTTCTCGACTTTCTGCGAGCGGACAAGTCAAAAAATAGCCGCAAAAAACAAACATATACATCTTGGTATATATAAGTGTATTTGTTATTTTTGATATCTATACGAGAATATTTTTATTCTTACGCAAAGGCCCGATCGGCCAGATAGATAGATAGATAGAAAGATAGATAGAGAGATACAAAAGAGAGAGCAATATACATATAACCATGGTCGCTCAGTGGAAAATCATCAACGAGAACTACAAAAATCTGGAGGGTAAACACACTATTTTCACACTATATATCACACGCTATTCCAATTCGTTTCAATACGATTAGATACGATACGATACGATCGCATTTTGAGCGCACAATGTTGCTGGTTGCAGCGGCAACATGTTGCACGTACATCCGCATCATCATCATCATCATCATCATCATCAGCATCTTCATCACCCCATGAGTAATGTCAAATTCTTAGCTTTCGACTCGTTCTCATCGTCTAAATTTAGACGCAATGACAGCCGTGTATGATTTGCAGAATAGGCCCCAAATTCCCCACAGCCTCCCCCCTTCATACCGCCTCCTTTGTTCGCACATTGCTATACCGATGGCTATAATTTTAATTGGCTTAAATCATTTTCAAATTGTTTCGCTAGCACTGGGCAAATGCAAATGCAAATGCAATGTGGTGCCGTAGCCAAGGTTATAGTGACGCCCACGTTTTGGCCGCATTTTGTTGAATGTTTTTGCACGGCAGCTGCATTCAGCAGCTGCAGCAGCAGCGATGGTTGTAAAAAAGAATTCCGAGTATTTATCGTTTCTTTTTCTCTCTGTTTGATTCAGGCTACAAGCGTGTGGCCTGGCCACCGGCCTCGGAGGAGCGGATCATCCGGGAGTTCACCCCCCAGCCGCAGACCCAGAGCCCAGCTCCGGGCGCCGGGGGCTACTATCCCCAGGCCCAGGCCCAGGCTCAGGCCCACGCGCCCGCGGCAGCTGCCCCACCCCAGGTAATTTCCAAGAGAACCCCAATCACCCACCCACTATAACCAATGAACTGTACATACATATATATAGTCAAGTTTCGAGTGTAAATATAATTGTATCCGCCACTGCCACACACAATTCGTATCTCATCCGGTGAGGCATAAAGCCATGTACATAGCATTTGAACACCCATACGCAAACCCCCTCACCTAACCACACTGACAACTTGCAGGGACCCATTTATAACAACGTCCAGCCACGCACCACCCAAGCACCACCACAAAATGTCTACGCCCCAGCACCACAGCAACCCACCTCCCAGTTTCCAGATAGTTATCCGCATCACCAGCAGCAGCAGCAGCAGGAAACGCAGATACCTGTGCAATACACACAGGCACAGTTCAATCGGCAGCGGTCGAGGGAACCCGTCCAGGTTCCAGCTCCAACTCCAGATCCCGCCTCCCATCCGAACTATCAGTCGAACTATCAACCGAACTATCAATCCAACTATCCCCAGGAGTCGGTGCAGGCCGCTAACAATGTGGGTGGTGGCTGGAAACACATTGGTGCCCCGCTGCCCAAGTCGCGCAGTGAATTTACCGCCGGAGGAGGAGACTATCCTCCGTTCCAGGGATCCTCGCAGCAGCAGCAGCAGCCATCCTATCAGCAGCCGCAGGTACCGTCTTGGTCGGATTGGATCCCGGCTTTTGGCTAAGCGATAAAGATGCTACCTATTGCACTGCGGCTGTGATCGTGACTTTCTCCTGCCATCGTTGATCTCCTTCTATCTTAGATGCTTCTATCGTAGTCACCTACTAAACTCTCTTCGTAGACGTTCACTAATCTCCACTTTCTTTCGTTTACTAAAAACCTTTTTTAAACTTCTACCATATAATTTCTTTAATATCCTATTTTAGACACTTACTAATCTTTCTCTCTTTCATTAACTAAACACCTGTATGAATAGTATCCTTACTTTAACCTTTACCTTAGAGATACCCTTACACTATACACTTACTAACTATTTCTTAAATCAAAATGATTTGTCTCCTTTGATGGGTAGAAAGCATAACAACTTGCACTTAATGAGTTTTTAAACTATAGATCAGAAATTAAAAGAGTGCACCCCTTTTTTAATTACATTTAAATAGATATTAAAATTTGATCTAATTAAATTTAAAAAATATTTAGAGTTTGTTTGAGGTTGTATAGTTCAAAATATTTAGATAATAGACCCGCTTTTTTCTTAGTTTTAAAATCAATTGAAAGTGCCTTGAAACTCAATGTGGTTCCCTAAGTTTTTATATTATTTAAAATAAACAGAGTTAAAATAAATCCCCAAAAATCTTTTTAAGTGATTTAAAATAGAGTTGTTTTGAAAAGTTTATGATGGATTACCGATCTCAAATTTCAAAAAAGTGTTATGTAATTTTGTACTTACTCGCCTTTGCACGTTTAATTCTGTACTAATCGCTGTTTATATGCAAATACTCACTTAACCTCTAGCTTTGCTTCTTTTTCTGCGACTTTCAGCTGTAATCTGCGCATAAAACTAAACCGATACCTAACTCGAAACTAAGCCTCCCCACCCTCTAACTAAGTACTTCTGTCTATCTCTATCTCCAACATATTCTATCTGTCTGTCTACATCCAATGTGAATGTGTCGTATGCACCTCCCAACCAACAAAACACCACCCATCTTCGAAATCAAACCATAACCTGTGATCGAAACCCATGTCAAACATGCATGTTGGCACCACCAAACACCAACGAACACCACCAAATGCACCAATGCACCACCGGTTAAACAGCAGCAGCAGCAGTACGGTGCTCCTTCCTACGGTGGCTACCCGCAGCAGCAGCAACCGCAGCAACCTGCAGCACAGTGGCAACAGCAGCAGCAGCAACAGGTGCCACAGCAGCAATATCAGCCTCAATCGCAGGCTCAGGCTCCCTATCAGCCACCACAGTGGAACCAGCAGCAGCAGCAGCAGCCACCCCAACAGCAGCAGCCATCGTACCAGGCTTCACCGTACCCGCAGCAGCAGCAGCAGCAACAACAGCAGCCATCCTATTACCCACAGCAAAACGGTGGCTCGACCTATGCTCAACCCCCATACAATTCTTATTCGCAGCCCCAGGTTCCGTACTCGCAGGATCAGACCGATCTGCAGCAGCAGCAGCAGCAGCAGCAGCTCCCTGGAGCCTTCGCTGGCCAGGATAGCTACCGGGGCGCCAGTCCCGGGATCATCACCCTACGCAAGGAGGCGCCAGTCAGCCAGCAGCCTGCTCCAGTTTACTCTTCGCAGCCTGCCGCCGTCAGCTATCAGGGTGAGTAAAGAGGTCTTTAAAAAGATATAGCTTAGGATATAGGGTTGAAGAAAAAAGATTATTTATTTAATATTTCATTATTATCCTTGCGAAACATCTCAAATTTCCTGAATAATAACCTTCGTTATTCAAGATATATATCATATGAACAATCCTGATATGAGATAATGTTTTCATAATATGATTATAATTATTGTTTATCCAACCAAAAATTGTTTTGGAACTCCCACGATAATACTTACTATTCATATTTCTCAAAGGTTAAAATAAAAAAATTTTAAAAGCAGATAAAGGCATACAGATTAATAAACATAAAATAAATGAGATCTTACAAAGGTTTATATACCAAAGACCGAATTTAAATTTAATATTTTAACTAGAAAAGGGTGACCTTTAGTGATCATATTACAAGATCTGTAAAACAAGTTCTCTTTAAAAATTCCAGGAGGCAGCAAATTGCGCGGAGATTTGAAGTGGCCACCACCGGAGTACAAGGAGGCCGCGGCACGCGAGAACGAGGAGCGTCGCCAGTTGGCGTTGGGCCCCGTCTGCCGTCCCAGGAGAATCAACCGGGTAGGAAAAGAGATTCTCAATTTAAAGATGATTCAGATCCTAACACACTTATTTACTTAGCAGGACTACACACCCTTCTTTGCCAAACACCAGTTGAACAATGGCTATCCCAGCTACAAGGTGCCACCCGGTACCCAGCACATTTTCGGCTAAGTTAGGCGATGGAAATTATAAGATGCCAAGAACAACAACAGCAGAAAATTCAATGGAACCCACTTCATAATAATACTGAAAACGATCATGTATCTGTTACTAAAACGAATCACTAACGAACAAAACTATATATAGGATATATACAATTGTTATACTAATCTTAAATGACCACTAACGACGCCATATATATACATATGTTACGAAACGAACCCATGATAGGTGAATGCAATACTACAGCAGGTGTGACTCCATCCCATGAATCATCTTCGGTATTTTCTCGATAATGGATGCCTGCTGATTTTTCGAACAGAACGCACCCATTAAAAGTGATTAAGATGATGATTCGTGGATATGGAACCCTGATCCGGATGCCCAGACGGGGCGATGGATAACGATATTCTCTATGTATCCATACTATATACACATATTTGGAGCATGTGCATATAGTATGGCTAAGATAGCAGAGCAGAACTATATACTACACCATATAGTGTTAGATTCTAAGTTGATTGTTACACTGTTAACTAGCTAATGAAATGGAAACGATGCGACCCAAGACGGAAACTGATAATGAGATTGAACCTTGTCTTAGATTTAAGAGCATTACTAATCTATTTATTGTGAGCATATTCTATTTAACGGAGATCCTGTGGGGACGATGAGCTCAAGGAACCATTTCGGAACCATCAACTGATTGTAAATTGTAAAATGAGGGTCGATCCTTTGGAGCAGTCCTCGCAGGATTCTCAATGTTTACTGTTTGAGTTTGCATGCTTTTTGCTTATATCTCTACTATATGCACATATATATATATTTACTTTGACATTGTTAAACTGCAAATTATAAAAAACCGTCAATTATCCCGCTAAGTAAGTTATACAAGAGATTAGGCGATCAGGCCGAAAAAAATCTGTGAGTTCCGAAAATGCCATTCAAGGATATTAAAATCAACGAGCTCGTTCGAACCTCCCCGATTAGCCCCTCCCATCCGCCCGAGGTCGGCATCTTAGTTCGCCCGCTGACCCCGGGCAATAATATGAGGATGTCCTTGCCTGCTGGACGAGCAGCCGCGAACTCAGTGCCCAGATCTTGGCGGATGGGACGAGGATGCGGCCGGGACGATGTCGAGGACGGGCCAAAAACTCTCAGACTTTACCAATTACTATGACCAGCAATGTCTATACCCAACTACACTACGATGTATAACTATTATGAAATGAGAAACTAAATAAACGGCAAGTTTTGAATACTCGCGACGAGAAGAACTACTACTGAATAACTATTTTCCATTGGGTTTTGGGCTCTCTTTATTGAAACGTTCGCATTCGATGGCTAAAACTTAATAGTAATCATAATAGTATCGTATTAATAAATAACTAAAAGTAAGGCCAAATCAACTTCAACGCTAGTTACAACAAGTAATTCCCTTCTGTGGCACTGGGCATCGGCATCCAATCAAATTAAATGCTGCGAACGGGAGACTTGGATCATAATTCAATGGGTAGCCATATCGATATCAATTTAAAAGACATTTTATGTTTAACTACATTTGCAACGGTACGCTACGGCTGAGACGCATACGATAATTATATTTGCTGTCGTACAATCAAATTCTCCGATCAGGTGCACAGTTTTTGTGTTGTAAAATCAACTTGCAACAAGTAATGCATTGGCTTATCGGCTGTGTTCACTACTCGATGACGATACTCCTTGGCGACGGTTTGTTTTTCGTGTTTAGTTGGGTAAATTCAATTAATCACGAGTGCTCCCTGCCACTCAGCTAATCAGCATCCACTTCTCACTCGGCGCTCGCACAGCACTTGATATAATATAATTTCGTTAGTTCATGGTTTGGATGAGCTGCCCTCGGAATCGTCCATTGTCCGCTAGGTAAACATTAGTGATTGATTGATGGGTTGATATTGCTTCTAGTTGTTCGATGGCTCCAGGTCCATGGTGTGGCCGGCGCTGGTGGACGAGGATGTGGCTGAGTCGGCGTTGGCGCCCGACTTTTTCGCCGAACTGCTCGCGAAGCGGCCGGAGGTGGAAGCGCCCTGTGCCGAGCCCGAGGGCCGGCTATCCGCGCCCTTCTCCTCGTCTTCGTCGTCGTCGTCCTCCTCCTGGATCAGCTTCCGTGCCAGCTTAACGGCCTCGAACTCGCGATAGTGGGCCTTGCGACGTCGCTCAAATTCGCGCCGTCGTTCTGCAACCCAAGTACATGAGAAAGGTTTGGAATCTGAGATGTTCATGGCACTTACGTCGCTCCTCTTCGCTCAGGGGCTGGTCGTCGCCGGAGGAGCCCTCATCCTCGATGCTTTCCGTCGACTGTTGGGTGTTGGCCGCTATGCGGAGTCTGCAAGAGATTGTTAAGTTTAGCGATTGGTAGAGAGTATAAAGGTTACCTGCTAAATGACTGTTTTGTTTTTCTCTATGTTAGTTTTACTATAAATCTTAATCTTTTGAGTACCTCACAAACAAAATGATATTGGAAAACTATTCTATACGCTTCACATTCTGTAAGTATGTCATTATCAATCATTATCATTGTTTAATCTGTGAATGATGGAAAACTAAACAATTACGCTTTCAAATGTGATGAATGTCACCTGAAAACTAAAGACGCATTTTGTGGAAATTGTGTTTGTTGACCTAATGCCTTTGTTTGAGCCATGATAGCCTGTACAAATTTCTAACTTATGACAGTCGTTTAGCAAGTAAGCATATGGTGATAGTGTTTATAGTGTGTAAGCTTAGGCTTCTCATACTTCTCCACGAGCAGCTCCGTGTCGAGTTCGTCCCTATTATCCCCATAGGACTCGGTGTAGTTGTAAGGCGTTTTGGGCTCATCGATTTTCATATGTCCGTAGTCCTTGTCGGCCGGATGGAAGGTCTGCATCACGTTCAGCTCATCGAACTTGGCACTTTTGCGAAAACTATTCGAGGGGGAATAGTTAGAAGGGTGAGAAGGGGGCTATAACTTGAGGCTATAAGATGAGCTCACCTGGCTCCCGACTTGTCGAAGCTGCGCGAAGTCTTGAGTATACCCTTGCAGGGTAGCTGTGGGCTCTGATTGTTTTGCATCCTGGGGATCTGTGTTACCTGTAGGATCGGGCAAAGACCAGAATTTGGTTTAGTTGCGGTCAAGGCACGCGCATAATTACGTCAGGCGGTTGGTAGTCACTGTTGATTTTGTTGCTATTACTGCTGCTGGACAATCGTGAATCACGGCGGCAGTAGCCGAAGAGGCACTGGATTCGCGACGTTCGCCAGATTATAATGGCACAGGTCGCGGCAACACCTCGTGCCCTTGGAGGGGTCGCCCTCGCCGCCCAGTGGGTGGCCAGCATGGCCACCAATCCCCCAGCAACGCCCAGTTGGCCCTCCAAGGCTCCGGTGGCCACCGCCTCCGCCACATCCACCTCCAACTCCATCTCCATCCAATCCCCACTTACTTGTGTTTCTTGCTGTTAACTTGCAATTGCAACTGCAATTTGGAGTGCAATCTACGCCTCAATCTTCAATTTGGCAGCCAGCTGGTTTTCGGGCGAGGGCCACGATCTCCTCGAGGTCGCCAGCCGGGTGGGGTTTCTCCAAATTTTGGTAACGTCGAATTTGGCTCGTGCGGTGTACTAGCCACTGCTCTTAACCGCTTTCCTAATTTCTTTTGCAAACAAATGGCATCCGGTTAAAAATATTCTAATAAATAACAACCAGTGTGACCGCGGAATAACCAAAAATGTGCCAAAAGCTAAAAACTCAGAAAGGTGTCTTCGCTGATATAGTGGTGGAGCGGGGACAACAACCTGACCTTTTAGAGTGACCGTTTTGCTTACTTGTGGTATATTTATGGTCGACCAAGAAGCACCCTGTTTTCCAGCGCACAAATTTAAACCATATAAGCTTAGTTTTGAAAAGTGTTCTTCAAGGGAAATTAAAATACAAAGAAAATAAACGATTCCTCCATTTCCGACCTTGAGTCAAATTAATTTCAAATCAACGAAAGACAAATGTGGCGACAAGTTCTAGGATACGTATGTTACACTTTACTTGCTTGTATTTGCTAAGCGCTAAAGTCATTAAATACTTAGAAGGCTAGGAAGTAGTAATAAGAGGGGTAGAAAAAATGCTGCATCTATCAGTCTTTCAGTTAAAGCGCTGCTGGAAATTCTGTTGCTGATTGAACATCATCTGTTGCTGCTGCTGTTGTTGTTGCTGCTGCTGGGCCTGCTGCTGTTGATGGTGGAAATCTTGCTGGTTGCCCTGACCAGACAATCGAACCCTTTTGGCATTCGGTTCCGCGTTCATTTGCTGCTGTTGTTGTTGCTGTTGCTGCTGTTGTTGCTGCTGCTGCTGCTGTTGTTGCTGCTGGCGCTTGTTTTCCGTTTTATCCTCCTGATCGTCGTCGGTGAGGAACTCACGCTTGGGATACGGTATGGGGCAGCCGGCGAACACGTCCTGCGTGGGCAAAGGCTCCTCCTGGAAATACTGGTCCTGCATGGCCTGTTCGGAGGTGATGCGCTTGTTTGGGTCCATGAGCAGCAGCTTCTGCAGCAGGTGAAAGGCCTTGCTGTCCGGCTTGATTTTGTGCCTTTCCATGTATTTGGCCAGCGAACAGGTGGAGTAAGTGGAGCGCTTAAAGTCCTTGGTGAGCGTGTGATGTTCCGGCATCTTCTTGATGTCCTCCCAGTCCTTGTCCTGCGGAAAGCCCATCACATTGAAGATGCGGTCCAGTTGATCGTGGTGATACGGATTGCTGGTCTTGATGTCCTCTTGGCGGCAGTGAAAGATGGGCTCCGAAGTGAGCAGCTCGGCGAAAATGCAGCCAATAGCCCAGATGTCGATGGCCTTGGTGTAATGACGAGCTCCGAGCAGCAGTTCCGGTGCGCGGTACCAAAATGTGACCACCACCGGATCCAGATCTGCCAGAGGTTTCAGCGGGGCATTGAAGAGACGGGCGAAACCCATGTCGGCGATCTTGACGCGACCCCTCTCGTTGCCATCGCCCATCACCAGGATGTTGGCAGGCTTCAGATCACGATGCAACACCCAGTTACTGTGCAGATAGTGAATCCCATCCAGGATCTGGTACAGCAGGCTCTTCACCATGCCGCGCGGGACAACCACCTGCTTTTTGGTGGCCTTAGCCGCCCGATGGAACTTGATAATGTGCCAGAGGTCGTGCTCCGCGTAGTCAATCAGCAGGAACACCTTGCGGTCGTTGTGCGACAGGAACACCCGGATTAGAGTTATCACGTTCTGGTGCTTCAGTTCGCGCAGCAATGCGATCTCGCGGCAGGCGGACATGGACAGCCCAGTGCCGTCGATCTGCTTCAAGGCATACTCCTTGCCATCGCTGCGGGATAAGAAATAAACATTATTGTAAAAATTTGGAGCTCTAGGTGACCTGCTCACCTCGTCTCCTTCCACTTGGCCTTGTAGACGTGGCCGTAGGTTCCGCGCCCTACCTTACAGCCCTCGTAGTTGAACAAGTCCTCCACTTTGGTACGCTCTATCTGCGTTTTCATCTTGAAGTCGTAGTCCATTTTGCCGAAAAGGTTTCCAAATTGCAATTTTCCAAATTGTTTATAAACTCGGAATGCCGCCAGTCAGCTGTCCGCCGATAACCAATAACAAGAGAGTTTACCAGGGCTGCAAGAAGCTCGATTTTCCCGCCAAATCTTTTTACTTTAGCCAGATTTAAAAAAATATATTTAAATATGGTTTTAACAATTACATTTAACAGTTTTGTAAGTTCCCCTAAATATTTGAAATGTCTTATTCAATGTTTAGGAACACTTATATAAGATCACAAAGCGTTCTTATATTTAATAGGGTTTGCGGTGCTAGGTTCGGTAAGAATGTAATTTTAAAGTACAAAATTCTGGAAAACTCCTTTGGTAAAAAACACACATTTAACTTTCAATGCAATTTATATGTTTATTTTCAATATATCTACACGATTGTTAAGTTTGCCTCTTAAACTTAACCATTTTTAATGTGCGGCAAACTAGTTTCGGAGGACATTTGCCCAGCATTGCCTTTCCTATTTAAGAAATTCAAAAAAGAGAATACATTGTTTTAACATTCTGAGCGGTTTTTATAGTCTACCTGAGTAATAACCGTGAAATCTCAGATGTAATCCATTTCAAACCCCCCCCCCCCCCCCCCCCCCCCCCCCAAAAAAGCAGGTAAATATATGCAACTTTTTATTTATTTATACAAATCTAAAGGTCTTATTTTTTTTACAAAAAATAGGGTCCTTCATTTTATGTGCCTTCTGAAACCCACACGGTGCTTCAATTTTTCATCCTTGGGATTTGTGAAAATAATTTTGTTAGGTTTTGTTTTGAAAAACATAATAATAGTAGATAGGTACTTGTCGGATCATTTAATTATTCACTTGTTTTGGAAAAAATTGCTTGTCGATTAGTTGTCACAATACGAATAAAAATATTCAACATCTTTAACTCACTATAAATATATCGTAAATACGCATCAATCAACTAACACACACGACTAATTTAATTACCATATCGTAAGATATCACAACAGTATCCAGATATTCCTAAAGCACGGGAATGAGGTACTATACTGGGAGGGGATAAGATAAGGATAAAAAACGATAGCCAAATCAAAAGAAAATTCAAAGAAAACAAAATAAAGATTTCCATTGGCGATACGCTTTATTTTTCGCTAGAAAATATATCTAGATGTGTATATTTTCGATTCTTTGTACCAACAACTTATCAGCTAGGCATGGTAAAAGTAAACTAAAAATACGTTCTTAAAATGCAACTGAAAGTGTAAATGTTACTGCAAACAAATTAAATTCATAGCAACATCTGGTCGTGTTTCTCCGTTTCGTATCTCTATGTACATCATGCAGATATTAGAATTAAGAAATGCACAAATAATTGGAATGCATAAACAAAGACAATATGAATAAACGCGGCGGAGGAAGACACATTTTAATGCGATTGATGAACAATGAACTAAATATGGCAAAAATAAAATTATTTAAAGTAAGTTCTAGACGTGTAATTAATATTGGAAGAGCTTTGGAAACAAATCGGTGGAAGTAAGTCGAAGCTAACCAAATCGCGTTTGCGTTAACAATTTACTTGTTTTTTGTTTAAGTTTAACATGAAATTAAATGCATTTAATAAATATTGGTGTGCGTGTGTTTAATGTATGTAGGTGTGTGTGTGTGTGTATGCAAAATGGAAGTAAATTTGTTCTTAACAATGATTTTTGTTCGTACTCTGCAACTTGCCGAATACTTATCGTGTGTTTAACATTAGCTGTATGACAGTTATATAAAGTAAATATACATTGTAGATGTATGTTTTTTTTGCTTTTCGCAGTTTTTTTGTTTGTTGTATATAGCGTTCACATTTTGTTAGAATTATTTGCTTTTTGTTTGCGTCGCCTCTGGGCAACACGCCTACTTTAGTTAGTTTTTAGAAATTTTCGCTACACCTAAAATAACTGGTATAATGTAGTTAATATTACACTTGTACATACAGAGAAATATATACTCGTGCATCTGCTATTTACATCGTTTCATTTCGCTACTCATTGCGCTGGTACTTAACTTAGGCTAGGCTTTAAAAAATCTTAGCAATTTTTGAGTTTTTAGTAGTTTAGGCTTATAAAGTTATCAGTTTTCAGTGGTTCTCTGCCCTCTTTGCGCTCACACAAAAGTAGAAATGCTCTTTCATATTGGGTGTTTCGTTTGCGTGTATAAATAATGTTAGCACATACAAAAAATAAATAGGCTTATAAGTATTTAGATTTCGCTTTCTTGTTTCTATTTATATTGTTGTTGTTGTTGCTGGCGGTACCGAAAAAATCTGGTGTATAAAAATCTGTTAATTAAAAAACTTAGTCTAGACCTTTACAACGTTAAACTCGTAAAAAAAATTATACAAAAAAACAGAGCCTAGAAATTAGCACATAAAACGCTTTATACAGCAGCATCCTCTGGTTTGGGGGCTTCTCCTTGGTGTCTCCAGGCTGCCATGATGATGCGTATTCCTTCACCTGGTTGTGATGATGGCCCGCGGCAAAGCGAATACGCACAGCCTTGAACGCTAATAAATCGGCGGCGCTGGCTGCGATGACGAGGTGGTGCTGGGCGGTGCAGCCACCACACTCGAGGTCGTCGACGATGGGCTGGAGGATGAGGCATTGCCGCAGTTATTGTTGTTTAAGTTGTTATTGTGGCGTTGCAACTGGTGGCTTCGGAGGGGCTGAAACTGCGACTGTTGCTGCTGCAGCGGCTGATGTTGCTGTTGCTGCTGCTGCTGCAAGTGTAATCTCTGCTGCTGATGCTGCAAGTTGTGCAGATAGTAGGCGTTCATATTGCTCGTGGCTGGCTGATAAGGATACGCCCGAACATTCTGCATTTGCGGCAGCACTGGCTGCGGCTGGAACTGCTGAAGTTGCAGCTGCTGTTGCTGCTGCTGTTGGTGTTGCTGCTGCTGATGATGTTGCTGGTTCAACTGGCCGGCGGCTCGCATCATGTGCCAATAGTTGTCATCGCCAATCGGAGCCTGTCTGCTGCCATACTTCAGCTGCCGCGTAATGCCCTGCTTGTAGTCCCGATGATCCCGATCGATGGCGTACGCCTTCTCTCTCAGTTTCTCGATCGTTCGCTTGAACTCCGCAAAGGCCTGCGGTGAATGCTTCTGCAGATCGGTGGCCAGCGGCACCAGAGGATTGTGCTGCTGGTGTTGCGTCTGCGGCAGATGCTGATGGTAGTTGAGCGGATCGAGCAGCGACTCCAGCACACTCATGTTGGACATGATCAGCGTGTGGATGCGCTGCAGATCGAGCGGTGGGTCCAGGGCCGTTACCAAATCCATCTGAAAGTAGTCCATCTCCTTTTCCGACACATTCTTGCAGCCAGGGGAGTTCTCATCCGAGCGACCGCAGCAGCTGTAGGTGCCACTGACAAAGGCCGAGGGATGGAAGTACTGCATCCGGATGGAGTTCATCAGACAGACCTTGTGCAGCAGGTCGAACCACTCGCGCTCCTCCACGCAGTTCGTGGTCTGCACAATCAGCGAGCGATCGTTGTGCACAATCTGTGGGAGAAGAGGCGAAAGTAAATCTTAGTCTCATCTTTGTGCAATTAACATAAATTCTGTGCGCGGCGCGATTGCAAAACAATCGCATCGCACCCAAGTGAAATCCGCTGGCTGGCTGAGACAATTCCCACATCGTGGCTGAGATCTAAAAGCAAAAAAAAAATCTCGCACCCACGATGACGATTCATTCTCTTCTGCGTCGGCTGTTGAGTTTTCTAGGTTTTGAAATTTCCCTTTTTTGCTTACCACCACCTCGAATCACAATAACAATGGTGTACGCAAAGCGGGGCTCTGCCAGCTCATCTGCATAATAATGCTAATTATTTTTAATTGCAGCAACTTGTCATTTGCCACAAAAACCAAAACTGTGTGAGTGATTAGTGAAAGTTTGTCGGGCAACTGAGGTTCGGTTTTCACTATCGCATAAAATGGGCCTGCCGCTGCCACCGATGGATGGCTGTGCCATCGATTAGCAGCCACTGCTGTACGCCCACACAGTGAGATGTCTTGGCCATGAGACGGAGGCAGTGCTGGCTGTATTTTAGAAGTAGGAATTAAGCTAATTTGAGAAGCTATGAGAACTAAAAGAAAGCTAATTATATGTAGACCAGAGAGTGATTGTATGACATGGTTTATTTTCTGTAGCTCCTTAAAATCAATTTAAAGAAAGAATATATAAAAAACCAGAAAACAGAAGTGAGTTTTACTTGTAATCTAGCTACCTAATATAAAATACTTTCTACAGAATGAATATTTTATTAGAATATTGATGAAAATATGAAAAATAAGAATAGAATCTTCTTATCTAATACATATTTCCTTGTTTCAAGCTTGTTTCAACTCCATTTAATAAAAACTACAACTTTAGCCACGTGCAAAGATTAATGCTTAATAAGATTTCCAGCCTTCAAAGTTTACAGCCGACCAGATGGCTTGTAAAACCAGCCAAGCCATCATCACTGCCCTGGAGGTGTGTGGGCTTCGGCTGCCTATTTATAGAGGTGGCGTGGATCGCGCATTTCCGGCACACTGCTCGTGTGCATTATACATCCCAAGCCCCCAGCCCCCAAACCCATTCAAATCGAAGCACATCGAATGCTCACCTTAAAGCAGTTCTGCATCTTGAAGCTCTTGTCCTTCAGCTGCTCCACGCTGGCGATCTCCTGGAGCGGTATATCACAGATGGGTTGTTTGCCCTTCGACTTGGCGTAGCTGAGCGAGTGGGTGGTGAGGCGGAAGTAGCGCTGCTTGAACTGCCGGCCGAAGCGCTTCCGGGATGTGGGGTACTTGGTCATCATGCTGCCGGGAAGGAGAGCAAAGAAAGCGGGGTCTTAGCAACTGCCCTTCGAGATCTCGCGCACTCAGTTCGCAGTCTCTGTTCTTGTCCCAGGCGCATATGAACACGCAACCGAAACAAAAACAGAGCTAATTGTTCATTTTACAAACAAATTACAAGCAATTTCTCTTACCCCTCGCTAGACGTTAGTATAGATTTAATGTGTGATGAATAAGTGTGATTTTTGTGTGATGGGATGGTTTCGTGATTGTGTGTGATGTATGTGGGCGTGATGGATTGGTTTTGATTTATTATTTGATATATGTATTTTTTTTTATTTTTTGGTAAAAGCAGCGCGCGAAAAAGAAGAGAAAGACAAAGAAAGTTTCGGTATTAGAATAAAACGAAGCGTAATCAACCAAATTGTCTTGGGTGGGATATGCCAAATCTATAGAATAGGGTATATAGAGGGAGCATTGCACAGTCCACCAATCGATATTCTCTAGAGGCTACAGGGAACAACCTGAATCCTTCAAGTAGATGGCACAACTTACCCCTCTTTAAGTAATACTGGTTCCAGTGGCGCTGCCGCCGCCGCCGGATGAACGCCGCTGCCCGCCTGGCTGGGCGTCGAGATCACCTCCAGGAAGTGCTTAACCGCATCCACATGCTGCTCCGTGCAGAACTTCTTGTACAGCTCGACGGTGAACTCCTCCTTGCATGTCTGCTGCGACGACCGGGAGCTGACCAGGTTACCCAGCGATTGGATCGTCTTGGAGATCAGGGTCAGCGTGCGGCTCGTCTGGGCATCCTGTAAATGACAAAGAGGGAATATTAATTATATTTTGATTACTCAATGGCAATGACTAAACTTGAGATTAAAATGAAAGAATATTAATTATATTTTAATTTGGTCATGACTAACCCGAGATTAAACTGAATTACTCAAACACTTTTACTTACCAGTCGCTCGGTGGTCAGATCGAAGAGCTTTGGCCCCAGGATGGCCGGAGCGAAGAAGCGCAGGAAAATGAAGCCGGACACCACAGAGTAGCGCACCTCTCGATTGCTGGGGAAATGCTTGCCCGCACACTCGCGCAGATCGTGAAAGATCTGGCACAGGACCTTGGGACAGCGATCGGCACTCTTGGTGATCGCCTCGAAAACCCGCTCCACATAGTCCTGCAGGTTATGCAGATTCGTGTCCACCGCCGAGCGATCCCTAATCTTGCTGGGATCAATCTCACATGGTTTCTTCTCGGCAACGATCTGCGACAAGACGGGACGCAAGGTCTGATGAAGGTAATGCAGCCCAGACAGTCGCATCGCCTCGTCCATCATTTTGGAGACCAATGTGTTGCCCCGAAAGATGGTGGTGGGATCCGTCAGGTTGGAGATCTCGTGGTCCGCCAGCGCCTTGATGATCGGCGCAATGCGCTCCGTGTGCGTAAAGAGTCGCACCAGCGGCTGGGCCACCTCCGTCTTGCCAGAGACCAGCTCGCCCAGGATCGACACAGCCGACACGGTGATTGGTCGCTGATCCACCGACTCCAGGAGTAGGTTCATCAGATCATCGTAGGTGGCCAGCGGGAAGACATGATCGGCGGTGTAGTTCAGATTCAAGCGCAGCGATCCGATGGTCGAGTCCACGCTTAATCTCGTTCCCGGGGGCGTGGCACATGAGCGGGGTGTGGCGTTTAGCGAGCGGCAACTGTGCGTCATGGAGCGCGGTTGCAGATAATACCAGGCCGATGGAGAAACCGCCTGCTGCTCCTGCTTATTCAGCATCGGCAGCCGCACTTCGCCGAGGAACACTTTATCGGACATCGCTCCATGCGCGTCGTGCCAAATGCTCACCACAATCTCCACCAGATCCGCTCCGCCCAGCGGGTATATAGCATATCCCTTGTTGGCGGACGATTCCAGGGAACCGGTACTTTTGTTGCTCGTAGTGGTGTTTGTGCTGCCCGCTTCCGCATCGATGTGAAGATCAAAGTACATGGCCTCGTCGAACTCCGGATCCACGGTCTTTTTGCGCTGTTTGGTTCGTCGCGTCACCTGCTGTTTGTTGCTGTAGTTGGCTGTGCAGATCACAAAGGGATCGCAGGTGCCCTGCTTCTTGGCCAGGTCCACACAGGCGGGTACCTTGATGGTCACGCCAACGAATCGCCCATGTGATTTCCAATTGGCCAGCTGATCTGACGATGTGGATGTGGTATTGATCGTGGGGAAGTGCTGTGTCTGCGATGGAGGATGATGGACGTGACCAAATAGACCGGCGGCTCGAGTCTTCAGGGTCATGGCCGCCGAAGATGAAGCCGCCGCCCGCTGGATGTTGCTCAGTTCGCTGTTCTCCTTGTAATCGTTCAGATGCGCCCGCTGTTGGTGGCTGTGTTGCTGGTGGTGTGACAGGTGCTGGTGGTGCGCCATTGTGTGCTGGCCCAGATCGATGCTCTCCGACAGAGACTGCGTATGTGGGGCTTCCGCAAACGTCACCTCCACATTGGCCATGCCCTGAACCTCTGAGTCCTGGTCCACTGGCCGCAGCGAGAACCAATGATCCTTGTGATTGTACATGTGCAGCTCCTCCCGCTTAATTGCTATCTTGCCAATGGGCTTATCCTGCTTCATGTCCCGATCCCACAGGTAGATGGACAGATAGCGGAAGCGACGCGGGATCTTGAACTGGTGCTCCTCGCCGAAGAATGGCGTTAGTGTGCGTTCGATGGTGGGTGTGCGGCAAATCTCCTCCTGGTCCAATGCAATTGTGCAGTAGACATCGCGGGTGCCCTGTGTGCTGCAGCTTGTGTTGGCCGCATTGCGACTGCTCAGATTCTTTGCCTCGCCTGGAATCGATTAAAAATAGTATGAATTAATAAAGAAATTAAGACATTAGATTAGGTATACTTTATATATTCGATATTTAACAAGCGTAACCAGCAAATCCCCTTAGTTATTGTTTGCTGTTTTTGAGATTAAGGCCTTCGTTCAAGGTGAAAAGCGTTAACTTTAGATTAAGTAATTATCATAAGTGGTCTTTGAGTAATATTTGGGTTAATCGTGAAAAACAGTTTAAATCTGTTTACTGATTGCGCCCTGATAAGTTATAGGAAACTAAAAACCAATAATATGTATGTTTTATTCATGGCTGAGGAAACTTTTAAAATGGAAAACGAATAGTATCATTAAAAAAATTTCTTATAAATGGAGGCCTAATAACATAGTTACTTTCTCCCAACCGGAAGTACTGTTAGAGGCTATCACTTGTCGATTAACATAAATTAATATAAAATTATCCCGCCATTTTGGTATCAGTTAATGTTTGGCCTTGACACCTGCCAACTGCTGCTGTAAAGTCTGTTAAAAAAAGGCTCAATCGCACTCCATCCATTACACCATATATTCCAGCGGGCTCTTTTGATTTCCGAAAACGGTCAGCGGACGTGACTTCCTGTGCGAGTGCCTCGATACCTCCTCTATATATATTGTATTGTGCACCGATGGCTGACTGGTGGTCGCAATCTAGCAATCTAGCAATCTATTATGGATGCTCCGCCACCTGGGGCCCGGTAAATACAAACTACAAACAACAAGGGGGATTCGCGATGGCTGGCGCTTGGCTAGACTCCGTAAACGTTAACAATAAACGGGGGACCTTGATAAGCGCAAAGGGTGAAGGCGCTGCCCACAAGGCAAGTACTATAAAAGTTGCTCAATGGAAGAAATTAGCGGCAGTCGAGCGGAAATATAATAAGTGCACGCACACTTAAGCAGTTGTGCGTGTGCCGTATCTGTGTCTGTGCCGGCTTCTATATATGTATCTGTGTGGCAAATTTGGTTTTGCCCGCTTCTTACAGTCAAACTTCTATGACTAACACTTCAAGATGTGTCTTTTAAATTAAAAAAAATTGTTTTCATTAAAAAAAGATTTTTATTGGAAAGAAAATAATACTGGAGAAACCCCTTACAGTGTGTTATCAGTTCTCTTCATTTATATATATTTCCATACAATAAAAAAAAGGTAGTTTGTCTACCAGTTACTGTGGTCAACTCAGAAACTTGAAAAGTTGGCAATTTTTGATGTTTGCCCTATTGATAAACGCTAAGAAAGGATTTCCGTTTCGCTGCCTTATAAAGTTGACAAATTCAGTTTTAAAATCCATGTTTCTACCACATATTACATACAAATACAAAACAATCTATATGTTTTTGACAAATATTTTGGTAATTACCATGAAAATAATTAAGGTAAACCATTGATAATGATAATTATAACTAAGAACTTTTATAAGGATAGCTAAGTTAAACCATACTTTAAAATGGAAAGTTATATGTGGTATAAGAAAAGTTAGGAAATGTTTTGGGAACAGTTGTGGACTTATAAAAGATAATGTTTAGTGATGTTTTACTGTAGCTAAAGTTTGTTTTTCATTGAGACCCCAGGACTGCCCCTCCCCGATTTCCGCCCCTGTTGACACAGCTGGGCGGTGGGCTGAGCTATGTGGGCTATGTGTGCTGGAGGTGAGCCATAGCTCCGTTTTTATGTACATTCAGCTATCACCTAGCCACTATCAATGGGGTTATATGTGGTATGTGTGGTGGTGAGTTCGAGTATCTGTGTGTTGGCAAAACAACGGCACTTTTCACAATCACAATCGCATGCTCTCTCACACTCTCTCGCTGTGCGTTTGTCGTAGAAACAAGAAAACCGCGATAACAAAGACATTCGTTTTCCTTTTGCTGCGTGTGTGTGAGTGTTGTTTTTTCTTTCATGAATGAAAAACCCCGCAAACAGAAGCACATTTTATATGCAAAGTGAAGTAAAGCAGCAATCGGCAAAAAGCCAGAAAACAAACACACCAAACGTCAAATGACGAAAAACAAGAGTATTTCTCTTTATTTTTTGTTGAAGGAGAAAAGCAAAACAGTAAATTTCATTCATAAAATAATAGTGGTAGTATTAATAGGAGAAAGAGGAAGAGAAACGGGGGAAACCCGGCGGAAAAAAATGTTGAAATTTTTGCGTTTCTGTGACGTTTATAATTCAGTTTTGTGTGTTTTTTATGGCTTTGCCTTGTCATTGGCTGGCCCACTGAATGTTTTTATTACTCGTTTCGTTTTCGTTTTTAATACCCTTGAAGAGGGTACTACAATCCTATCCCCAAGTTGGAAAATCATTCGATTTCTATGCTATATACACGCATATTCAAAATTTTTTTATGTATTCGTAAATACTTTAAAATCCTATAGTTTTGATAAGAACACCCAACATTTGCATAACTTAGTTGCCAATAAAAAAAGTTAAGGGTAAATAAACTTCGACTTGATAAACATATATAAGTTTTTTTGTGGAATGCCATGCAAAACATTTAGACAATCCAAGATTTCCTAATTTAATGACATAATCAACGGAATTTCTATAGATTTCGCTTACTCACAGACCGAAGAAAAGAACGAAAGGGCAGCGATAAGGGGGAAATTTCTAAACGACGACTTCCATGGAATCGAACGAGCCCCCATAGAGAATTGCGAAATAATATTCTATCCATATCGCTTAGATTTGGAATGAATGTGGACATTATTCTGAGCTCCATCGGTCGTAGACCGTCCGATATTCGACCTTCAGATGCATTGGGCAACAGCAACACCAAACAGTCACAGTGACGGACGATCGGGTGTGCATATATCATCTTACATATGCCAAACACGATAAACGGAACCAGAGCTCGATGAACTGGGAAAATCCAGAAGGTTTATGCATGGATAAAGTCAAGCTCATCGATTTTATTTTATTTTTTTTTTGGGTGGAGGATCATTTTGGAATTTTGCAAAACCATGAGAACGGAAGTGATACGATTTCTTTACATTGCTAAAAAATATTTATGGGAAACCAAACTTACTTCCTGAACTAACTGATAAAATTAAAACGGAAGTTAGGACTTTCTTATGGAAAAATCATGTTTCTTTTTATTTTAAATTTTTGGAATGTTGTCTAATACATTTTAAAAGTATTTTTACGCACCATTGTGGTAATCATTTTTTAATGAGGTTAATTTTAATTTTGCTTGTTATCTATTACGTAATAAACCCGATAAAATGGGAGACACGTAAAATTGATGAGAAAAGATTATTACTTGTGGTTAGTAATACACAAATTAAGTATCTTTTAATAATTGTTTTTCTAAGAATATCAAGACATTTTAATCTTTCTTAGATTTATAGGTTTTACATTTAAAATTTCATGACAGATCAATCCATTATCGAACATTGTTTACTCAGACTAATGCGGCTGATCTGGCTGATCTGACAATTAACCAGATCGCTGATATATACATAGATCCCTATGCAAACATCAGAAAAAACATGCGGCATGTTTCTTTCAACATTTCCAGGGGTCCCCCAAAAATAGAAACATCCTGCCATGTGGCACATGGCTGTGGTGCCACAGCCCCCAAAATGAAAATCGAAAACTTCTAAAGCCCCAGCACCGCTGAAAATTGCTTTTCCTCCACAACATTGACATTTGCCTTGGGGTTGCCAGTGGAAAGGGCAAAAAAGGCAAAATTACAACACGATCTCATTTCCACACCCATCATTATTGGGTCGAGACAGGGTCTCATTAAATGCCTGAAATTTCCATGATTTCCTTCGCAGACGGAAAATTAAATTTAAAGACTTTGTAAGTAGATTTCCTTTTGCTTTTCTCCCCCCATTTTGCTTTTCTGCACAATATGCAAATTGATTCAGTGCAGCATGAAACGCGCGCGAATTAATGAGGCGATTACTCCGCGAGTGTTGCTGCTGCAAAAAAAATAAGGAAAAATAAAGAAGGAAGCAGACAAGCAGACATCGCTGTAATAAATTCTAAAAAAGCAAATGAAACAAAAACCAGACCTTTATGCAAAGGAACGGAAATAGAGATAAATTCTTGGTTATTTTTTTTTGTTTCAGCTGCCTTGCCAGCGGAAGGGAGATTTACACATACAGATCTTTGTCCGTCTGTCTGTCTGGCTGGCTGTTTGTTTAAACGTCAGCTTCCTGCGGCCAAAATGATTTTTTGCACTTTTGGCGGAAAGGTGGGAAAAAAGCCCTTGGCTTCTTCGGATGCATTTCCCTGCACTCGATTCTACAGGCCCTGTGTGTGTGTACATTATATCCCTTTAAGTGCACTTCCTTTTCCGCTGCCACTTCCTTTGGCTATAAAACCAGAAAGGGCTCTCCTAACGTGTTGTGCAATTAGCCAGGTTGTGGAGGAAAACAGGTTAGTTAAACTCAGATACTTAAACTCAGATACTGCAGAGCAGAAAAGTGGATTACCTATAAACTGAACTTAAATTTACATATAATCTTGAAAATATAAAAATTATCTTACAAAATATTAGTATATAATATCTATTTTCTCTGTTACTGCATTAAATTGTATTTATTTAGAAAAACACAGAAACCTGAAACCAGTTTCTTGCCATCATTCTCCTCATTCTCCCCCATATATTTCTCGGTACGTGCTGATCGATTTCCGGTCTGATTACGCTTCTCATGATCATCTCACGATCTCCTCCTGTTGTGGCCAACTTTGTTTGGCTTCTGCCTTATACACTTTTATTGGCTTTCCATCAACGTCATCGAACTGGACTTTGTTTATGAACAATTTTCGCAGTACACAAGTGTATTGTATATACCCCATATATCGTATCCAAGTCCAGATGAGTGATTACCCTTCGGATTGTCATTCCTCTCACCAGTCGAAAATTGTATCCCAACTCATTGCTTTCTTTGGCTTAAATTTTCGTGTTGCCAATTTACCTTTTTGGCACTATTAACCTTCAATTGCACACATCACTCAATGTGAGAGACGCGAACGCACGACTTCCATTTCAAAAAGGCCAAATTGGGCAGAAGCCTATTAATACAGAAAAAAAAAATATAAAAAAAAACTACAAACGCCGCTCATTAGAGGCAAGTCAACTGGCGACGACACAAAAACTCGCCTGACTTTGTGCCATAAAAATTTAATAATGATAAATACACTTTGTAAGGCGCCCACACAATTTGGCAGGCGGCTGCGAAGCAACCAAGCCGAATTGGCCTTGGCCAAAAGTAGTTTTCTATGAGGCGATAGTGGATTACAAATATGTGTGAGCCAAGGATCAGCGGTTGACAACGTTTTGTGGGAACGAACTACATTATGCAATTAAAGAGAAGGCTGTATTATTGGGAAATCATATACAAAGTCATTAATTAAGTGGATTTCGGATAAGCTTTTGTTTCTAAAAATTGAAAAACATAATTTTAACAAGATTATTGATTTCCTATATGAAAAACCAAACGGAATCATCATAATATCACTAGTTTTACAAACCCCTTAATATATAGTTTGCTGTACAGTTTTATGGCTCTTAAATAAACTAAGGATCCGTCTTTGGCAACAAGATATTAAATAGAAGGTTACATTAACAGAAGAAGCTATAAGGTACACTTAACCCCGTCATTATTCCACGTGGTTATGGTTAACCCCACCCCAAAACTCCTCAACTCGAGTGGTTTAGGCGCATCTAACGACTCCAAACGATCCCTCGTTTCCCATTAAAAACTTGTCCCCAGCCTTAGACAATTCTTGGCCCCTTGACATTTCCGCTGTTGTGTTACCTTTGAGAAACCACCACACAAACCACAATAAACGACACTTGAAACGAGCCAGCGAAGCGCACAAATTGTGGCTCAAAATTAATAACACAGCCCGAAAAAGTAAAATAAAAACAGAATTCATTTTAATTACAAATTACAAGGGACTGACTGATTGTGAGATGGCATCGCTGAGGAGCTCCAAAGAAGCGCCACAATAAAAACAGAGAAGCAGCGTGAAGTTCAAAGCCTTGGGAGGTGGAGAATCCGGACGACAACTGACCGGGGGGTTCCACTGATGCCTCTGACCCCGGCTGAAGTCAACAACATCAAAGTAAATGCGAGGAGGTCAAGCGTTAAGTCATAAAAAGGGCCCCCTAAAAAAGTGGGAGGGGGAAAAAGGGGAAATGCGAGTATGTATAACATTATAACATGCTGCTGCTGCCTCATTGTGGAAAGTTAAAGATAAATGTTAATCATCGCAGGCAGAGTCATCAACGTCATCGTTGTCATTGCAATTGTGGTTCCCCGCTTCCCTACTTATACACAGAAAGAAAATACATCTATGCCACTTGATAACATATCTTTAAGTTCAAGAAATTATTTCCATATAATATTAACAATTTATCATTTGTATTGGTTCTATAACATCTTAGAGAACCATTACTAGAGTTTTCTGAAGTTCTAGAACTTTCCTTTGGGAAAACTCAGTTAATGATATCCTAATTTTTAGACGAAAAGCTAGAACTTGGAATATTCATCTTTTAATATCATTTCAAAAACGATCTCATTTCTTTCTGTACCTGGAAAACCTCAAGAAGGCCGACTTCGACCTGAATAAAAAGTATTTTAGAATGCGCTAATTACTTGAAAACGCTGGTTCCTTGGAAGCGGCAAACAAAGTTGTCAGGGTAAACCCCTCTCTTGGCCAATATGCCCCCGGCCTTTGGGCTAATTAACATTGTTCCCCGGCCATTTATTTTCAAATGAAAATATTCCACTTTAATTGTGGCTCAAGCTGAACAATATATGTATTAGAAAAATGATTTAAAGACACGACCCGAGGAGAACTAATTGTCAACATCTCTGCCAATGGCTTCCAAAGAGAACGAACCAGCTAGAAAAGTTCCAAGCGATCTTTGGCTCGTTCAATTGCAACCAGTTTTGGCCTGGTCGACTGGAGGAGGGGGAAGCGAGAGGTGGAAACTTGGCAACAAACTGGAGAACAAGACACAACACCACAACCGGCTTTTAATTAATTACCTTTTTTGGCCAAACTATTTATTGTTGTTACAGAGCTACATAGAAAGAACAAAGTCGAGTCCATGTTAACTAGACATCTCTGTTCTGGGTCTTCAAGTTCAACGAAATCTCGATTGCGTGTGGTCTGAATTGTGAGTAATTCCCCCCAGTAAATGTCATTGATATTCAGGGGGAGATCTGCAGTGAGTCATGCACCCACACTGCTATCTCTCTTCTTTTTTTTTTTATTACTTATTGTCTCGAAGAAAACAAAATTTAGGTTATGCGCTAAACATTTTAATTAAGTGGAAAAGTATTACGCCAATTTCGGTCGGGCGGAGGTTTCGTGTAGAAATCGCAACGATCAACAAAATGGAAAGCCACCAACAACAATAGCAACAAAAGCGAAACTCCGTGTGTAATTGAAACTGAGCACGATGTGGAAGTATTATTATTAAGCATGCAAAGCATAATGAAGGGGAAATATGAAACTTGAGAGAAGAATGCAGGGAGTATAGTGCTTATAACGCTGTATGGCGGATGGGAACGAAACCGAATGGTTGGGGGTAAAAAGGTGACACAGCTAATGTGTTATAATGATGCCATAATCAATGATGATTATAGGAAATGAATAACTTTCATTCTCCAATGGTCAGAAAACGCGTTTGTATGGTGGAAACTAAAATATTTGATGAAATAATATTTATCTCTATTTGGGCTCAAAAGAAAACTTGTAAACTACCTTTTAAAAGGGTTTATTTTTAATGAGATCTGTAATTTTTGACCATCTTTTGCAGAATATCCATGGAATAAGAGGGCAAATATCAGCCACAAAGGCGAATGGATAAAACGGAGGTAAAGAGGTGATAGCTAATTTGCCATAACGATCCGATAATCGAAGGAAGTGCATAACTTTCGTTCTTCAATCAGCACAGAAACGTGTTTTAATTCATTTTTAACCAATATTGTGCCATCTTCTCCGCAGAACCCAAAAACGTGAAAGGGGTTAAAGGCGAGAGAGGGCAAAGGAAGTGGCAAGAGGAAGAAGGGTAGCGAAGAGGAGACCCCGACAAACACAGAGGCGCATGCGAAAACAATTGAAGCGTGCAAAAAGCAGCTGGAAGGGGTTAAAACAAAAAAAAAGCACGAGAAGAAAAGTACAACAGAAAAAAACAAGAGTTTTATGGGCAAAGGAAAAGAACACAAAACCGCATCACACGAAGGGAAACTCTGGCGATGGGAAACGGAAATCAAAAGCGGCTACAATGTTGTTGCAGCTTTGCATATAATTTACGTTGCGAGCGTAGCAAAAGCTGCTTATGAGTTGCGAGATTGAAATCGTAAGACGGAGGTAAAAATAAATGCGTGTGCAGGTGTGAAATTGAGATCACGGCAACCCCTTTTTTGCCCCGCCTGTGGTTATTCATAATTCTGTTTTACATGCGTTTTTTTTTTCTCAACAGGAAATGTAAAACCACCAAAAACCACCGCAAGTTTTCTTAGTCTCTCGTTCTCTCTCGTTCCAGAATGAAATAGATGGCAGAATAGAGAGAAAGAGAGAGTGTCATTCATTAATTTGACCTTTTGCCAATATATAGTGGGCCATTAATCGATGCTCTTTTTTGCTCTTCTCGCTTGTTGCTTGATAATCATTCATAAAACAGACACCTTCGTATTGAGAAAAGTACACCGAATTCGAAAATTCCATTCATGAAAAAACCCACACATTGTATTGTTGCTGGGATCTCTCCCGCGTGTGTGTGTGTGTGTGAGCATGCGCTGGAGCGTCACACACACATGCTTGATTTCCGATTCATTCACAAAAAGGGGCGCATTCAAAACGGTGGGGGGGCGTGTTGGAATTACGGGGGGCGGAATCGCAGGGGGGAGAGGCTGAGCTGAATGCCGTAACATTCAGCCTGGTCATCCATTACTTTTCCAGCAGCAGCAGCAACAACAAATGCAATTGCACTGCTGCACGACGAAAAACGAGAAAAAAAACATTGGGGAAAAAGCAAGAGCAACACACACGCACACAGCAACACGCGGGCGAGAGCGAGACAGCATGCTCATACACTTGAACACAAAATGCATTTTCCGTACAGAAACACATTTGTTTGCCTAATTAATAGACTTTCTTTGGTTCCAAAACCCACAAACTATGATTTGCCACTTGATTGCACTGATTATTTAGTGATTTTTTCGCCTTTTGCCCACTTTAAATGTTGTTTTCCACACAGAAGAGACTCCGCGGGGGAAACGGCGACGCTGTCAACATTCCAACACACTTTGCACTAGAAAAAAGCCACGTTTCGTCGCGAATTTCACACAACATCCATGTCCCGCATGTTCATCTAGGTTTTTGTGATGTTTTCAAGCCATTTCGCACTCGATTTACATACCAATTTTCACTTTTAATTGCTCTTCAATGCGCACTTCGCGTGTATCGGCCATTTTGTTGTTGTTGCTGCTTGGCTCGACGGCGACGAGCGAGTCAATAGTGCCGTCTCGCTCGTCGTACATATAGCGCTTCTTCTTCAGCAGCATTGTGCGCCCGTTTTCATAGCAGGCAGCTTTGCGTCGGCCACTAGCGTTGGAACTTGCAACACGCGATGGGAAATTGTTTTTTTTTATTTTCACTGAAATTCGGCGGGGTTTCCTTACACAGTTATTTCCCGTTTTACAGGCTTATAAAAAATGGTTAATAAACTTTGTAATTGATCACTGGCTGCAGCGTTGCATTTCTCCTTTTGAGCTGGGATGACGGGAATATGAGTCGCTTTGCCGCTCACGAAATGCACTTTTCCTGTTGCTTCAGTTCGGCTGAATCGGAATTTCGTTGTCACTTTGTCACCTCAAACGGTTTATGTCACGCACTAATGGGTGTACTTTGTTTTTAATTCAAAACTGCTTTCTGTCCCGACTCGCACAGACTTGTTTCTCCGAGTTTATCTGCTCTGCGAGTTTTTAGGCGTCCGCGAAACAACCATCCGAATGGAAATCCAACAGTCCAATTGGAGCACTAGAAGACGTGTGCGCAATAGTAGGACCGCTGTCAGCAAACGTAAGGGTCGGCAACGTAAGAGCCACGCAAGGTGTCAGTAAAGTGACCGTTGATGCACTGATGGCGATAGGTCTCTGGCAAGATTAGTATGACCTTAACACGGCGCAGCGAAAATATCAAAAGGTTTTAAATTGTTGTCAACAAATGTTTTTTGTTCCGTAATGATTTATAACAATTAAACGCTCTCAATTTATTATATCGTTCTTTTATATTGAGGCTTATATAAAAACAAAATTAAAGTTAAAATCCGATCATTTAGTAGTTTTGACTACCGAACTTTGTATCTACAACTCCCACAAGCAGTTATATTTTAATAAATTTACTTTGTTTTAGTTTTATTAACTCAGCGTTACATTTTTAATTCATGTCTTGAAATAAAGAATTTTATTTTACTACATTTAAGTCAAAGCACACTCCGAGAAACGAACTTGTTGCAAACGGCGCCGAAATGAAACTGAATTAAAATTTTCAAGCGGCAAGTGTACGCACCCAAATTTTGTGAATGAAAACGAATACATACAGAAATGGTCACCTACACTTGAACAAACACATGTTGCACCGGCGCCACCAACGGCGGAAGCAGCGAACCGAAAACCCAAGATCGCCGGCAGAGAAAGCCATGGGCATATGCGACATGGGAAGTGCGCTACCATAAATTGGAATTGGAAAAAATATTTTTGATTTCAGAATTTTTTATTTTTCAAGGGTGCGTAGAAATATTAAACAAAATAAATCTTTCTATTGAAAAAATCGTTTTGCAATTTTATTATTTATTTTGTGATTATATGGAACTCATTATGATAACAATATTAATATTATTACATATAAACACAAAAATATGATCAGCGATATGGTACATTGCAAATTCAAGTGTAGTGACCCCAAATGCCCTACTGATCCTAGTGTAGCGCACATTACGTGGGCGTTCTGGCTCGCAGACAGTCCAGAGGAAGCAGCCAAACTACATACACATGCACATATGTACATTAAAAGTACACAGAAATACAGAAACAAGGCAGAGAAATGTGAAATTCACACGGCATCCGGACAGCAACGCCGGCTACGACTCTCATGTTTATTTTAACGCATATGTTGCTGCTTCTTCTGCTGGAAACCACATGCATCACAACAACATCAGAGGAATAGCAACAACAATCGGGGAGATCAACAAGTGAGACGGTGCATCTTATCACAACTGCCGCCAATAAGTGGAAGTGGTTGGGTCAACACCAAAAAACATGTTTGTTACAGAATCCTAAAACAGGAAAATTTTCAAATCGATAAAAAAAAGTTATTAGGAGAGGATGAATAGTAACCGAGTTCGAGGTTCCTGATAAATATTTCTTTTTTTTTTGTATTCGTAGTATAAGTATTTATTTTACGTTTGTCTGTATTTATGATCTTGAGATCTCTTTTCAAGGTTCCCTTGTATTAAACTAAATCGGGCTAATCCCACAATTTATCTTTCAGTATATGGTAATATTTGCTAAGAAGGTCTATAATGCTGTTTTCTGTGCAGCGTGCGTAACGACAATTTGAATATGTTGATCATTTCGCTCAACGAAACGTAACCGACGTGGGAAGAAGAGGAGACACGGCTTTTCTTCTATTTTCCTATCCAGCTGTCCACTCAAAACCCTCCCTCTCGCTTTTCTCCTCCTACGATTTTCCGTGTAAGGTGCAGATGTGATAAAAATAGTATTTTGTGGCGGTTTCATTTGTTTGAATGAATTTACGGGTTTCGGGTTTTTCGGCCTGTTTATATACCCCCCCACCCATGGGGTCTGTTTTATTTATGTCCGGAAAAGTGTTTTGGTCGTTTGTCTAGCTTCCGTTATTATTTCGTTATGAATGAAAGAGATCCCCATATGAGCGTATTTTGATCTACCTAATTTATAACATTTATTTTGGTATCAACTTGTTTTCAACTCAATATTGGGTTCGTAAACTTTGCTGGCTATTTTCGTCGTGGGCAACCTTTTGGAAATGTTTAGCTTTTGTTATCCACCGCATGTTAATGGGAAGTTAACACATAAATACTCATAAAAACTCCTAACGTGGGTTTCCCTAATCGCATTTTGAATACATTTAACCGCTAAGAGGAAAAAGCTGTTAAACAGATTTATGGTAACCTTTCAAGCTCCGATTTCTGATTGAATTTATGGATTTTTAAATTTGTATTAATGATGGCAATTAGTATATCTATCCAAAAAATATATTTATTGTTATTGAAACTGCAATATTTGAAGATGAATGTCAAAATGATAATGCCCACACTGATAATTCCAAGGCACGTTCCTCACATTGTTCACCTAGATAATTTTTAGATCTTATAACTCACCATTCGTAATCCTTATCACAAGTGTCCACCACAAACCAGAATTACTCACAAGTCCTCCGAGTTATATATGTTGTTACAGATTTCGGCTTTATCTGCGGATTAAGTCAAATGGCCGTTTGGTTTTTCGTTTATTGTTCAGAGAGTGTTTACACGCTTATGGTTTTTTGTTGTAGTATACAATAGACACTTAACGATTTCCATGTAATGTAGTCATTTAGTTTAAATGTAATGTAGCAAATTGTTAGGTGTCCTCTTGAGTTGCGATTGCATCATTATTACATAACTTGATTTTTTTTTGGCGCGCTAAACGTAAAGCTTAAAATTTAATCATGTTTGTTGATTGCGTACACAATGAACCTTAAATGAAATACTTAATAAAAGATCGCATGAAACAATGTGTGTTTTCTTTTGTTTGTGTGGGTGTGTGTGCTTGTGTGTGTTTGAGAGCGTTGGTCGCCTTTGGCAGCTTGATGAGATCAGGATCGCAATCAGGACCTCTTCCTCCCCCAGCTGCTTGTCGCGATGCCAACTCCAGCTCAACGGCAGCCAAATTAGGAAACGATAAACAAACTGCAACGATAGGAAAAACATGTATTAGATATAAGATTTAAAAAAATAAAATAAGTTCCAGTTAAAGAAACTTAAATTATAGAATTTAAGCTAAACAAGTAAGTATCACAAGATATACTAATATGTCTATATCCTTACATGGGGACCAAGAATATAAAAAGCTGTAAGGCTAAGGATGTCTTCATAAATGCGTTACAAACTTCTTTTAAAATTATAGCACTCTTTGAAAGGTTATACAAATATTTAATCTTGTGAGTCACAAACAATTATGACGAATAAGAAGTCACATGCTTTGGAGATTAAATTATTGAGACCACAACTTGGGTTTTAAAAGTTCTCTTTTTTAAATCATTTTTCATTTATATCTGTATTATATATTCATATTTTCTCATTACTCATTTACTGCTTTTGTTTTTACATTGTTTTGTTATTTACATTTTAATTGGTATCTGTGTTTAACCAAATGTTATATTTATTCTAAAATTCCTACTCACTTTTTCTCAACTCATCGAACGCAATTTGGACCCGCCTGCGGATGGGTGGTTCCCTTGGCGTCCAGCGTCCGTTCCATCTACTTGTTGTTGATGGACAGCCGCTCGACGCTGGCAAGCAGCTCGTCTGCGGTCTGGGACACGACCTGCTCCTGGTCGTCGCTGGTGCTCAGGTTCTGCAGGCGCTTCTCCAGCGCAGAGAGGTCCTCCAGCTCGCGCTGCTGCTTCACCATGTAGCGCAAGATCAGCGTGGTCAGCATGCACATGTCCTCCAGGATCTTGGCCGTCTCCGGCGTGGGATGATCGTAGCGATTGCGCAGCAATCTTAGCTTGGCCTCGGCCAACTCCAGCGGTGATTTGTTGCTGCGGTCGTACATATGAACACTGGCTCCGCCCTGCAGCAACACACCCACCACAATGTTGAAATTGTTGGAGCTGGCCGAGATCACAGCCAAATGGAGCGGTGTATTCCCCAGCGAGTCGACCACATTCGGATTGGCTCCGTACTTCAGAAGCTGCTGGACAATGGGTATGTAGCCACGGCAGGCGGCCAGATGCAGGGGACTGCGATTGTACTCGTCGGCGGCATTCGGATTGGCCCCACCCTCCAGGATGCGGTTGAGCAGCTCGATGTTGCAGGTGGAGGCGGCTGTGCGCAGTTTGCGGCCATTCGACTGGACGATTATGTTGCTGTAGCTGTAGGAGTGCTTCAGCCGCTGCATCCGTGGGCGCATCTTGAAGCTCTTGCTGCCCGAGGGCAGAGTGCTCGGATGGATCAGGCTGGGCAGATACTCGGCATTGGGGGCATTGGGATTCAGCGGCAGGGGCGGCAGATGCGGCAGGGCGAAGTGCTCGCCCCGGTCTCTGCTCAGCTGGAATGATGCATTCGTGCTGGTGTTTGAACTCATGTTCAGGTTAAGGTTCAGGTTGAGGTTGATGTTCATGTGGGGCCACTCGCCGTGCGTGTTCGGCGATGAGGTGGGCGTGGGCGGCATCGCCGGCGGCGGCGGCGTTATCATAATACCCTTGGAGGCGCTGGCAGAGGGCATGGCCATCGGCGTCGATCTGGCCAGGACCATGGCCATCGACATGGGCGACGACATCGGCATCGACATCTCCACCTCCTCCTTGGCCTCCACGCCGGAGGTGGAGGAATCGTTGTTGGTGGCCGCAGCCATGTCTCGCTCTTACTCGGATTGTGTCCCCCGTTGGCCGCGATGCAGTGCGTCTGTGGTCCCGGTTCCAGTGCTCAGTCCTGCGGCGAAAAATCTCTTGCCAGGCACGCGCTGCTTATTTTCCTGTCTGTATTGTTTGTTTATTTTTGCTTAGTTCTCGCCCACTTTGGTCACTCTGACATGTTATTGGTGTGACCCTGCCGCCCGAGAATCTATTTACCTGGTTCTGAAAAAACGTTAAATTGCCTGTATTCACATAGCATAAGTCAATTTAGGTGGTCTGGCTCACCTGGTTTTGGACTCCTAAAAAGTTGGGGCCAAGAGGAAAAATTGTTGGCACAACGTCTGTGAAAGTCAAAATTATAGAAAATAGAGATTTTTTGGTTTGTGTCTTGGGAGCGTAGAACAGGGTGGAACTGCTTAAAATTTTTTAACATATGAGAAGCCCACAACGCACTATGCTTTTTTCTCAAAAACTGACGGCTTTTCGTTTGCCGTACCGCATTAGTTAATTAGTGAAATCAATTTCCTTTCCAACGAGGTACCGTGCATGTTGGTACAACGTCTGTGAAAGTCAAATTAATTAAAAATAGAGATCGCGTTGAAACATAATTTTTTTACCATATGGTTAGTGTCCTGAATACATTTTTTACATAGTGGTTCATGTCTTGGAACTTTCTGGTTCAAATTTGAATCTTATTTCTTCTTATTCTTAACGTATTAATTTTTAATTTTGATTCTCGAGCTTAGCGGAATGTTAGATTTTTTAGACTTTGAAAAACATGATATAAACGAATGGGTTCAATCTATAGAGCTCTCATTTTGTTAACCTTCTATAGCAAACCATTATCTTTTTGCGAATCAATTGAAAGCAGGTTTAAACACTTAAAAAGTTTTATTCAAAAATTCGTGCTCGATTACATTACATTATTCATTTTCTAACAAAGCGGCACGGAATGTTTGTTACATATCCATTATACATTATACGATTCAACTCGCAATTCAACTGGAGGGTTACATAAAATACATGGGTTTTAAAATACAAAAATTAAACGAATTTCGAAATTAAAGTACGATCTTAAATCCAATAACACAACATGCAAAGCGTAATTCGTTTGGTATAATCCTGGAGATAAAGCCTCGGAAGTGGGAAAATCAAAGAACGCAGACAGGGAACGCCATTTTCCAGTTTGGGGGAGTAGAAAACTCAGATTCCTTTTTTCAGGCTGGAGGGTGGGGCGGATTTCGGTGTTATTGGGAGGGGAAGTCCCAGTTAGTGGGCTGATTTAGACCGCTGAAAAGGTGCTTAACGAAAATGAAAGGGCTGAAACCAATCTAAAGTACACAGACACGAGTCGAAAGGATCCCTTTAGGAAGAGATCGCTACAGCAAATGCGGTCTAAATCCGTCTTGCATGCTATTTCAGGAAGTTGATCGTCTCGATGATCTTGTTCCGATTGGCGTGCATATACGCCTTGGTGTGCCACAGCATGTTGATCAGCTTCTGGTCATCCTTTTCATCCATGGCGATGTCCTCGCTCAGTTGGGGATTAAACCTGAAGTAGGGTATGCCTATGGTGCTGCACCAGGCTCGAGCTCTGTCCACCACTCTTCCATCGGAGCAGGTGGCCTGGTCCACCAGGAGATTGCCTAGAAATCATATACATCTTTAAGGAACAAGTCAGCAAAAATCCAGTTTAGTATCCTTACCAATGGTGGAGATGCCGTAGGCCAGCTTGGCCGTATCCCAGATGCTTTCCGGCCGGAAGACATCTATGTCCTTCAGTTCAGTTACCGGAATGTGGCCTGTGCCCAGCGACATCACCACGGACACGGGTATGGCCTCTGCCTCGCGTCCAGCACTGCGCAAAGCCATATTATACTCGTGGATCTCGGTCATGGCGTCCAGGGTGGGGTTGTTGGCTATCAAACCGCCATCCAGAAAGCGTCCAAAAGCGCGGAAATACGAAGGAGCGGCTCCTGTGGCGCGGGCAGCACGCCAGACCAACTGCTCATGCGGCGGTGGAGGCGGAATTCTACGGTTGTCTAAGGGGCATAATAAAATATTAAGACTCTCTCAATATTTATGAGTAAGATAACTCACTTATGGAAGTCACAATGCCCAGAATATCACTGGCACTCGTATAGTTGCGGAATAAATGTAGATCCACCGGCTTGCGGTCCGCCATTACACCGGTGACCATGATCTTTGGGTGCTTGATATCCGTCATCACATTGAACTCGCCCAGGTTGTCCTTCAGAATGGACTCGAAGAACTCACTGTTGTAGGGCCTAGAGCCCACGAAACACTGCTCTTTCATGCGCAAATATAGGCCCATACATTGCCTCATCGTCTTGCCGCAGCCCAAAGCCAAGGCCAGGATTCCTCCCGTGCTGGTGCCGGCAATCCAGTCGAACATGTGGATGATAGGGGTCCGCGAAAGCTTTTCGATCTCGAGCAGCATCTGAACCAGGACCAGGCCACGAATGCCACCGCCATCCAGGCAGAGCAGTCGTCCACGGCCGTAGGGCTTATCGCCTATCTCAGCGGCAATGGGTGAGGTGGGCGACGGCAGCTGCTCCGGACTGATCGAAGCAGGCGTAGCAGAACCACTGGCCAAACTGCCCGAGGAGGTGTCCTTCTTCATTTCGTCCGCGTTTACTTTGGTGGTGAACATGCCCAGCAGGGCATCCATAATGCTCTGACCCTTTAGTTCCTTTTCAGTGTCGACCACAACAGGTTTTCTGGAATAGTAAAAGGTTAAAGATGTTTGCATTACAAGCTACAAATGTTTTCTTACTGTGCTTGTTGTGGTTTTTCCAGTAATCCATTGGCCGCCGCGCCGAGGAAATTGCCCATCACTTGCCGACTGGTGCTGGCCAGCATGTTTTCTATATGCTCGCGCTGCTCCACGGATTCCGGAGCCTCCGGCGGTATGCCATTGTAGTTGCCCTTGGCATTGCATCCTGGCGGGCACTTTGAGCCCGTCTCCTTGCAGCGTTTGGCCCCCACCGAGTGCAGGATGTAGAGTATTTCATCCTCCTTGTTGCCACTGGCATCGTTGCCTACCATGTGACGAGGGCTCTTGCCATCCTTGTTCTTCAGATTAATGTCACACCCGAAGACCACGAGACACTGGACAATCGGCACCAGCTTCTTCTCGATGGCAATGTGTAGGGGTGAGTTTCCCTCCTTGTCCAGCACATCGATATCTGCATCGTGAGCCAGCAGAGTGACCACGCACTCGAATCGATTCCTGGCCACCATCACGTGCAGAGCGGTGCGTCCCTCAAAGTTGGTTAGGTTGACATCACAGCCCTCCATGATGAGGGCGTGCAGGGTTTCACGGGAGGAGCACCAGTGCAAAGGAGTGCCGCCATACTTCATGTCCTGTGTGTACAGTTTGCTGACATTGGTGCGCAGAAACGTGGTGACCGTGGTGGGTGCGGATGTCTTGTGCAGCTTGGTGATGTTGCTGGCATTGATGTTGACATTGGCGCCAGCCAGGAGTAGGGCCTTTACGTTCTCCGGCTTGTCGGCGAGGCAGGCGACATGCAGAGGAGTATACCCATCCGCGTTGAGGTGATTTAGATTCACTGTGCTTTTATCCGTGACGAGCTGGGATAATAAAGATTAAAATGTTGTTTATTTACACATAAGAGTAAGCACTCACATTGATAATTTCCTTGGTGGTGCTGGCGGCATAGTGAAATACCGAATTGCTGTTAATATCCAAGTGCTCCAGCTTGCTAAGGGGCAGCAAGACCTTCACCATCTCGATGTGGCCCTGCTTGATGGCCAGCTGGAAGGGCGACATGAGGGTGGTAGCATCCGCTTGATCCACGCACTGCAGCATCTTGGGATTGCTGATGTAATCCACCAGGTTGAAGTAGGCAATCAAGTGGGACAGCGTCCAGGAGGGATTTTCGGCCAGAGCATCGCAGGCCTTCTGCAGGCCATTTACATTGTAGTACTAAAAAAAGATATATGGTGTTAAATGCATTCCGGTTGGCTTGAAATCCTCTCTAGAACCTCTTTGACAATGCTGACGAAGACGGGAAGCCTCTGTAGGAAAGCATTAAAGCGCTCCTCGGCCTCCTGCTGCACTGGCGACCGATACAGACTGAAGGATGTGGTATTGGAGTCCGAGGTGGGTCGCTGCAGGATGATCTCATAATTGGCCCGTTTGTCGTTGCTGTTGAAGGGCGGTGCAAAGAGTACCATGGCGTCATCGCGGGCCAGCACTTGGAGCGTTCCCAGTGACTCGCTTTTGATCTCCAAGACCTTGTTGGCCGGCTGATCGCCACCCAGCAGGCGCTGAAGAACTGCGGTCGATAAAACAATAAAGCATTAGATAAGAGTGGGCAAAAGGTTTACACATGGGACAAATACATTCTCAGCTAGACTACTAAACACGGCCACACGACACGGAAACAAGAAGAGCTAATGATTGAGAGGAGGGGGAATACCGAAACCGGAGGCCAGGGCTCCAAAGGCCATCCACGACATGACTCAGGGCAGCGCGGATTGGACGACTGCGGATGCTGAACTTGAACTTTGTGCTCGCCGGATGGCGATGAGCTGGCTAATGGGGATGTGGTTATGGATGCGGTGAACCTGACAGAGAGATAATAATGGCCAGTTTGTTAGTTACATGGCTGAGTGTGGGTGAGCGAGTGGTTGTGGATGCCAAGAAATCAATAGTACACATCTGCGGCCAATGGGAGGTGAGCAGATCATCCGATTGTGCGGAAGTGCTACATATGCGTATTCTCGCCCCATTTTCCGTGCTTTCCCTCTTTCAAGCCGCACAGGCTAATCAATAAAATGAGTGACACAAAATGGTGATTCTTCTGTGGGTCAGTTTCTACAGTTTTTTTAAAGCGCAAAAAATGATGCGTCATTTGGCAGATAACTAATGCCATCTCTTATTTTGTGCCTATTTTGATAGACTCTTATATTGGCTGACCATTGAACATTTTACTGCTCTGAAATTAGGTTTTCTTATCGCACAATTCCAGTTTCTAACACTTTAAAATTCTTGCAATAAAAAATAACAACTGATTTTTTGCAGCTTTTCTTTAGTGATGGTGTTGTTGGTTAGAGATGGCACTTTTGTAAGGCGGCGTGCGATAGTTGAGGAGGTTGTCTCCGCTATGACGGGTAGAAGTACTTGCTATGGCGGGAAAAAGTATCTGCTAGTCATTTTGGTGAATGGCATAAAAAGTACATTTCGTATAGTCCTGTCTGGTCATTCTAAATCATTCGCCATTGCTAGACGAAATTTTTTTCGAGCAAAAAAAGTGGCTGGTGAAAAAGGTGAAAAGCGGAAAAGAAACGTGCCATTTTAGCTAGCAAACAGACCAGAAAGTAGTGCTTACTTTTGCGAATCAGTGGAGAGTATTGGTAGATAGGTAAGTGCAGAGATTGGTGGTTAAGTTAGCCTGTGAAAAAACGCTAGGGCCGGCGAAATATTGATTTTTTTCCACCCAGTAAGAGACGCCACCGGCGGCAGAGCGATAAAAATCGAATCCGGCGAAAAAAAGGGGGTGCTGCGCTGGACGGACTGCGTTTTTCGCGCACATTCATATATACAGACACGAAACGAATTCTCTAATCTTTTTGTCTCGCTTCTTTGCTGTCTTACCAAGCAGAACTAATTGAAGAAGAAGAACAAGATGCGCGGACGCGGAGGATTCATTCCACGTGGTGGTGGCACCACTCGCGGCGGCTACTACAACAATCGCAACTCGAGCAACTATGTGAACACCCGAACCCAGGGCAATTACCGCCCCAATAATGGGCGGTATGAGAACAACTACCACAACAACAATAATCGCTACAACAACAACAGCGGCGGAGGAGGCGGAAATAGCCACTATGACAATCGGAGTCGGGACAAGTTCACCCACCACAATTCGAGCAGCGGGCGCTACGAGTCCAGCTCCTCGGGCCACAAGCGCAGCTACGTAAGTTGAAAATATATCTCTCTAGATTATAATAAGCCCCTAAAAACATCACTTAATTGCTACATTATATATGGGTATTAGGAATCAAATTTAGTATAAAGTCTAGACAATTATGCAGAAATCTTCTTAATCTCTCCAGCTTTTCCCTCAAACAGATATACCTTATTTATAGGAATCCCACTCTAGAAAAAAGCAAGCTAATAATAGCTCTATGTTATCTCTGAATCAGATAAGAAAGTTTATTTAGTTACAAAGAAAAGTTAGATTTTGGGCACATTAAATCTTAGCAAATAAGTTACAAGTTTAATCAAATCCCAATTTTCTTTATCATTTTTAATTAAAATATAATCACACCTTTTTATATCAATTCAATTCAATACTCCAAAACTGGTTCCTTTTTGAATGGGATACATAAAAACAGTTTACCTAGACACAATCTCTAAATTGTCTGTTATTATAAGTGGCAGTCTTAATATCCATTTTTCTACTGAATGAACATTGGATACACATTTCTGATTTCAACTGATTTCTGACCTAGCAGTAATTCTAACCCAGTTACTGGTAATTCTCTGCATTAGCGATTTTCCACATAAGATATCTAACGGAAAACGAGTTTTATCTTGTCTGTCGCATTTGTCCACTTTCTTGTAGCCTTTAATGTTTAAATATTTATGCTCTTTTTAAGCCACTAAGCCACAAGGAAGCAAAGCAAGATGAACAATAAATTTTGTTTATATTGGAATCAACCTTAAGAACCCTCATTCTATAAACAGTTTTTTGCTTATTAACAGCACACTTGTTTTTGTGAAAAATATAGACAGTATTATAGTATACAAAACAAACAGGTGAGGTCAAAATAATATTTCAAAATTGTTCTCCTTTTAAAGAGAATATGGAACATATATGTTAATTTTTAGTACTTACAAAATTTAGATTTACATTGCCTTAAATATAACAATTAAATCCTGATGAATATTAAATTAAGTTCAAGTTAAGTTAAATTAAGTTCAGTTATTCTGACCGCAACTGTAGAATAAACAAATAACCTGGTTAAACACTTTCACGTAAAGATTATGAGTAATAATAGTGCCAGCTCTACAGAAGATAAAGTGAGATTTAATTATAGTTCCGTTTGTCTTGTGGCAAATGAGTGATGTATGTACTACCCAAATCCATTTCTATATATTCATTATGCAATCTATTTTTATCTGATGTGTGTCTAGGACTCATCCCGCGATCGCAACGATGACCGCAAACGCCCGCGCCAAGACGTAAGTTATACTTTGCCCCAATTCCAATGCTAACAGCACGCTATTCCAAAGGTCTATATATATTAACTATTCATTAAGCCAATCGCCATGTACTGTGTAATGTTAATGACTTTCCAAATATTTATAGCACTGTTTGTGAAGCTTAAACGCTGGACTGAGTTGAGCCTATCGAGCGTTAAGCATAACATGTCCCAAAAGAGCAAACAGCGCGCGGACTCAAAGTTGCCAGACAAGCACTTTGGAGCACCGTCTGACCATATATCAATCTATATAAATCTGTGTATTGTCCATAGCATCGACTGCGGCGCGGCAACATAGATAATGATCTTGCCAGCGACCAATCGATCGATCTGATCCGATCCGAACTGATCCACTGATCCACATATATATGAGAAAGCAAAAACTTCTGTAGAGAACCGTTGAAGCGATTGAAGCGATTTTGATCTGTAATCTCTTGTATATCTTGTATATCAGCTGTCAAATTTTTCCCCATACCGAAGGTCGAAGGTCGGTGTATCAATCCGAGCAAAGAACATAGAAATCTATCAGTGTGTACATCCGCGCATATATGCATTATATATATAAATCGATCCAAATCTAAGTAGCTAAGCAATAAGCGTATAAGGTTTCTCCATCATGCTACCACACACAAAAACACGCTGCAGGAAATAATAATAACAGCATATTGCGAACTATATAACCCACAGCCAATCCAATCAGATCAGAATCAGAATCAATATCAGTCTGTAGCTATATAGCAATTCTTTTCATTCAACAAGTCTATATATATATATATATATTTTATATAAATATAAATCTACCACCTATATTTGATATTTGATATACAAAAAATCAAAAAAACCAATCAAGCAAAACAAAGCTCCTACACACCTTCCTACTCATCAATCGTCAATAGGATTACCGTCGCACGTCCTCGTCGAATGATCGCAGCGATCGACCCTCGTCCTCGTCGCAGAACATTGGCTCCTCGTCGTCGAACTATCATCAGCGTAGCAGCACCGGCGGTGGTGGCAATAACGGCGGAGGCGGGAGCTCAAGCTCCTACCGTCCTCGCGATGATTCCACCAGTGGCAGCCGGCACCAGAGGGACGGATCGATGGGCCCGCCAAAGCGGATGATGCGCAGCGTGGCCGGTACCAACTATATATCCCGACCCCGAGGCACAATGTCGATGAGGGGCGGCATGATGCGAACTGGGATGCGGGTGGGAGCCATGCGCGTTGTCCGCACTCGGGTCAACGAGTCGAATGACCTGCGCACCATGCGCCGCCAGTTGCTCTATGCACAGCAGAAAGACCGGGCCCGCCTGCTCAAGATTCAGCAGCTGAAAAGGTAAATAGACGAAAAAAAAATCATACAAAAAAGACCAAAAACCCCAAATGAAATACTGAAATCTGAGTTATACGCGGCATTGTGTTCCAATTGAGGATACAGAGAACTATGAAGGCAATCTGTGAAATTGACATAATAATGTGAACTGTGAGATTCTTCGATTCAGTAAGGAATCTAAAATCTGAATGCGAGATGGAGGGGAGAGCACTTGGTGCCAGATTAACCGAGCGGCCTCCCGGAAAACTCCATTCTCCATAGCGCCCAAGTATATAATTCTTGTGTATATTGTTGTGTAACTAAGTAGAACGAATTGAAACGTACCGATAAATAGAAAAAAAACACCCGACACTCCAAGACTTGAACGTATTTTGTTAGTTTACCACCCAGCTTCTTCTTATGTACTAAACAAAAAAAAGACACAAAAATTTGAACTTGCCTCTTCCACCAAAAAAAAAACAAACAAAAACCATCCTGCCACCCTGACCATGACTTCACATTCGAATTCATTCCACCCAAATGTAGCTCGTTGCGACGACAACGCCAGGGCGGGAATTCCAGCGACGATTCCAGCGGCAATGAGGACAAGGACGGCGAAGATGCTGAGAAAAGCAAGAAGAAGAAGGGCAAGGACAAGGACGCCGATGGAGGCGATGACTCTGACGATGATGATGACGACGACGACGATGACGATGATGAGGACGATGATGATAAGGACCAAAAGAGCAAGAAGTCGTCGCCCGGTAAAAAGCGCAGCAAGTCGGCCAACAACGATGACAAGAGCGACGCCGAAGGCAACGAAGATGACGATGAGCACGGCGATGACGATGAGGATAAGGACCTGAATGAGTCCGATCCCAAGAGCGCCAAGGCCGATGACGCCTCCGATGACGAGGATGTCAAGGCGAAGGCCGATGGTGAGGGCGGCGATGGTGACAAGTCGGATGAGAAGGCCAAGTCGTCGTCGGCCGATAAGTCAGGTAAGAAGAAGGACAAGGACGACTCGAAGGACTCCAAGTCGAAGAAGTCGTCGACCAACAAGAAGGAGCGTTCGTCGCGAAAGGATAAGGACGATTCGGACGATGATCGCAGCAAGGAGCGGCGCAGCTCTCGTCATCGTGATGAGGATCACAACAACCGCAAGCGCAGCTTCATCAAGCTGATTTGCGTCCATTGCCGCATCAAGTGTGTGACCTTTAAGGTGTGTTTGCTTATTGATTCCCCTCGGTTCTGTTTAGTAATCTATCCTCTGTGATCCGCAGGAGTACAACTACCATCTGAATTCTCGCTCGCATAAGAACTCCATGCGCCAGGTGGCCCTCAACCAGCGTGCCGACCTGCAGCGCATGCGTGCCCGCCAACGCACCACACAGCGCGAGATCGAGGAGAACAGCAAGGAGGAGCACGAGTCGCGCTACTGTCGTCTCTGCCGCCTGGCCTACCGCCAGCCCAAGAATCTGCACCAGGCCTCCGAGCACCACAAGACTATCAAGAAGTTCTTAATGCCCTACT